CAAGGTGGACACAACGGGCATCGTCCAGCTCCTGGGCATGGTCACGGACAGTTCTTGTGGAAACATTATCATCAGTGTCACAGGCACGTCTTCTTTAGCTTGGGCCACATTTACTGCGACAATTCTTGAGCCAAGACCAGTTCGTGCTTTTCGCATCCTCTTTTTGTGTCATCCTCATCGGAGCTATTGTCCCTGAAGCCAGGTGGAGGGGCAGCTATAGCAGGTGTTGGCAGTTGTAGCCGCTCTGTGCCATTTGTAACTTCTTCCTCGTCCTTCTAATTCGTTTCCTGGGGGTGGGAGGGCAGTGAGGTCAACAGCACCTCCATCTCGAGAGGCACAACTACTGGAGCAGTGTTTACCTGAGCTACCACTACTATTTATCACTACACCCTCCGCTCTCAGCCGGGCTTTGCACGAATCACAGAAATAGCGCGTGTTTTTCTGTGATTGATTCACGGCCTGGGCCGTATTCTAAACTCCGTATTTCTCCTTTACAGCGATGTCTGGAACAGTTGGTTACCTTCGTGCTTTGTAAGGTTGGATCAGACTTGTGCGAGGCCGATCAGTTGGGTCTTGAGGTATAAAGTTCTCGTTTATGTCCAGTTCTGTATCCGTAGCAGTTTGAAACTCCTGGAAATGCTGGTCTCTTTCTCGGAGGTGGACATGACACAGTCCAAGGTGCTGGGGCTCAGCCGGAGCAGAGGCCCGTAGTGAGCCCGACTCCCTGTGAGAGCTCTCCCTGTCGTCCCCTCGCCGCCCTCCACTGGGCAAGCTGCTCGCTCCAGAGCGGGAGTAGCCATGGAAGGAGCTTCTGTAATCTGGGGACAGAATGGTCAGAGCAGTGGACAGTTTGAGTTGCTACAAGTTGTGTAGAGAAAGCAGCTGATGCCACATTGACTGTGTTACTTCAGATGGTTGACAGTTGAAGCTTGGTTAAGTTTGAGGGTTAGTTTCTGGAATGTGATGGTATGATTGACATCTCTGTTGACAGGATGGTTGAGAATTTTTGACTTCTATATCTTACTCAAAATTTACCACTAAATGAAATGCAGTGAATCCACAATGTTGTATCTTGAACTACAAATGATGACGGCGCGTCCAGTTCAGATGGAGAGATGGAAATGGAAGTTTTAAAAACAATCTTGTGACTGGCAATGGTAGAAGTCATGAGTGTCATTGATGTTTACATACTGTACATAACATTTTCCAAGACAATCACGCTATTTGGTAATATAATCACTTGATACTTTTCACATCAATGGAGTACTGGAACATACCTGTCTTAGTTAATTGAGATTGAGCAGGGTTACGAAAGAAGATAGTTCGCTTTGGATCAACAAACAGTTTGTAGTAGCCGGAGATCAGACACGCAAAGTTAGTAGCATCTGGCCATTCCATGAGAAGAACCAGGGGCTGCAGAGAAGGGAATCATATACATCTTTTAAACTTTTTTTGATATATATGTTTTTTTCCTTTTTTTAACAAAACACACACACAAACACACAGACGCACACACACACAGGTCTAGGACAACAAAGACAAAATAAAACCTGACTAAACAATACAACTAAACTCAACAAATAACTAACTTAATAATGTCCATAATGATGAGTTGATATATTTTATTATTATTGAAGAATGTTTTATTATAATGTTCGTATTACCTTGGAGTCGTGCATTGACACCTCGACCCGAGCCACACCTTGGCTCTCTCTGTAGAGCTGGACTTTGGAGACTCTGCTGAATTCAGCCAGAACAGTGGTCAGGTTGTTTTTAAGGTCAATCACATGACTGATGCCGTGGCGAGGACCGACTAGGAGGGTTGTTGCAGACTGTTTCTCATCCTTCAAATATGTGTTTTATTTCACATAAGGAAAGGTGTATTAGCTAAAATAATAGTTACAAAAATGATATATTGTATGTTAATATGTACACAATTACCACTTCAACAGTATTAAATAAAATTCCACCAAATGGGGGTAGGTCATTAAGTACACGCATGTATTGAAGCTTCCCCTGCAGCGGAGGGACCTGCGGACAAAGCGAGAAAACAAGATCACATAAAAATAGAAAGGTTTGATTCACTCAACAGCCGCTGGAGGGCACTGTTGAGTCACACAAATCCCAAGAACATGTCACAAGGAAACAAACTCAAGTTAAACAGTTAGTTTAAAAAGCCCTAACACATTCTGCCTGTTTTCTCTAAATCAACTGCAATATAATGTAATCATTAAAATTGGATTTGTTTTAATTCCCTTTGGAGCACAATCTTATGGCTGGACTCCGAAGCCTGTAGTTTTTTGCCTCTGATGACTATTTAACCCCAATTTGGACTATTTCACTCCAAAAGTGTAAATTATCTCTTCACAGAGAAAGGTCAAACTCTAAAGAATGTCTACATATTTTAAATGAGATATAGTTGGGTCTAAGTCTAAGGGTCTAATTGATTGTATAATGAGAAACTGTTGAGTTTTAAACAGATCCCCATTCACTGCAAACGCAAATTTAACTGAACATTTATTATATGGACCTGTAATAACACATGTAAAAACCTTATTCAATTTAGCAAGATTATGGACCATACCTAATTTGAGTTAAAAGCTTTTTTGTTTGATTTGCCTTGAAATAAATGCAGCTTATTTTGGATCATTCACTTTTCCAGGCGTTTCATAAAAATAATAATACTAATATTATGCTCGAGGGGGTAACACGTTCTGTAGCACATTTGTGTAACGACCGATTTTATTGTATAAAGATCACCTTGTTTCCAGATGGCGGGGCGTGCTGGTAAGTCTTCAGTAACTGAGACAGACTCTTACAAACATTTTTTTCCTTGACCAAAGGGAGGAGAGTGAGAGGAAGAAAAGGTTCAAGCCCCCACTCTTTCCTGTATAAGAGAGAGCACACTTAGAAAACTGTGACTGTATCAGAAAACTATTAAATGTCATCATCCCAATTCAACAAAGGGCCTCATTTATTCTTCTACCAGACAGTAGTTGAATCTGACCAGTGCCCCAATAATTTAAGTGCATTTGGTAGTAGCTGTGGTTGACCAAAAATGATCATTTTAAAGTGAATGTCAGTCACTTCAATGTCAAACTGAAATGAATCCAAATCCTTGAATCCAAATCATCAAAATAACAGAAAATGAAAAATAAACAACATTAAAAGGGTTTGAACTTACTCTACATGCTTCAGTGAGATCTTCTGACTCGGTCTCGCTGAAGACACAGTGATGAAAATGTGCAGTGCAGCCAGACGTAAAGTAATGTCAGACTTCCAGTCAATACCAAAACGTTCCTTGATTACGTCATTTCGACTCTGAGGGACAAATAAACGTATTTGTTTTTCAGTATTCAGATCCTATTAGCTATTCTTTCTGGGGTATATTCAAACACGAATCCATAAAAAACAGTTTCTAAACATCATGAACTAAATGCACGTAAAATATACATGACATTATTTACACAACTCAATCCACCCACGTGTGTCATACGTCTGGAATATGAAGTATTATTCTTTTAGAACCAGACTTACTTGAATATAGAGGTACTCAAACGCAGCAGGATCTCTCCTCAGCAGATCTGAAGGGTCTTTGGGGAAAAAACACACACGGAAAAGACACTTCATCCCTTGGAAGTAGGTTCGGTGTACAACCTGGAGGAATAAAGCAACAGTTCAGTCCTTTCTGTTTATTAGCCAAGGAAATAATCAGTAAATATAGTTTACATTTAGTTGAAAATACCCTCATTTATTATTCGAGGATATTCTATCCAATCAGATGTAGCAGTGTGAAGAATCTGAAGATTTTTCTCCAAATATATTTTAAGGCTATAAAGTGGAGGTCGGCTGTTTATTGGCACCGATATCTACTATTATTGATAAAATCAGTAATGATGCAACTGAACATAAACCTTTATTAGTCTAGTCTTTTGTAACACAGCTACTTGAAATAAATAAACACATGTTTAAAAAAAAGAGTGGTATAGTCATCATAATTACAATCATCAGAAGCCAGAATCTTATTGCCTGTAATAGCTCCTATACACACTATCAATGCAATCCACCTGCTGTAGTTTAGCTGGAAATTGTACAAACCCTGTGTCCTATTGTTATGTGCCCGGGTATGGGATTGCATTGCTTCTCAACTTTTCTGTGTGCAGGTTTGGATTGGCTTAGGGTCTGAGCTGGGACCTTAACAGGGGCGTCCCAGAGAGCACTCTCTCCGATTGCAGACACCTGGACCTGGCCAAAGGGTCTAGGCCTGCACACCACACCACACTGCTCCACACCTTTTTACACATAAGGTTTTCCTACTGATTCTCATTCGCACAGTACCTCCCAGAACATGTACACTGATTTTGCCTCAAAAACATGATGACACATAGGAGCCTTTTTACGTGTGTCAGAGGCTGGTTCTCCTGCAGCAGTTGGAGCCTCTGGTGATGATCCATTCCAGCTGCCTCAAGCACTAAAGCAAAATGCTCAATGTATCGCAGAGAAAGGCGGTCCTGCAGCGAGGCAATCACATCCTGAAAGAACCAATCACATCGTTATACAATTACACCTAAATCCTATGCTTTTCATTATAACTAATTCTAACTAATTCATTATAGTTTACAGAGAATACAGAGTTCATACACGTGTTGTTTAGGCACCTGTCCACCGAAGCTAGTGTTCTTCAAAAACAATACTGAAACCAGACCTATGTGTAAATATATAACCATGTTTCCTTTTTTTTGTCTGTTATGCAATTTTCTATGTATTCACTAGGGGGTGCTGCTGTAGCCGCATAGATAAAGGTTTAGTAGACTTTTGGTTTTCTGGGCGATTACACTTACCCTGCGTCGCTTATAAGTATTCTGGTCATGTGCCTTTCTGTACTTCTTTTCACACAGCTCCTACAACTGCTGCTGTTTGACTAAAGATGTTTTTGCAAGTTTATTCATCTATACTTCTTATTTGCATATTTATTAAGTAAATTAGGCTTACACTGATAACTTGCAAGTCTTTAAAACCCACTGTTGGTCATTTATTAAAATAAGTAATTGTCTCCAGGAGGTTAAAACTTGGCTGGCCCAACATTTTTAATTATCAAGTGGAATAAAACTGAAATCGTTGTTTTTAGCTCCAGCTTCTCTTTTCACCTGAGTGATGAGATATGTCCACTCCTCTTTCAGAAATGTAGATAAAAAAGTTTTCTTAAAAGCACCTTCAGGACAAACAAGCAAATAAGTTCAAGTAATAAAGCGAGCTGAGCAGCGGAGAGTCTAGTTTACCTCTGTACACTAGAGCAGCTTAAATCTAGTCTAAAGACACATTTGTATTTCACACCAACGAAATTCTACATATATGCATAACAGTTAACAAACAACTACTGATTTCTGGATCAGTTAGACTAGAGGCTTGGAAATGAGGTAAAAGTCTGAGTGAATCATGAAACCTGTTTGTGGGCAGCAGATGCAGCAGGTGGCCAGGAATGGTGTATTTACAGTGTATGTGACAGCAACTTCATCTCAAATAAAAAATAATCTCAAAAGCAATTCAAAAAGTGGCCAGAATGTTATATCAGACAATAGCAAAATAGGTCACACTCTGGTGCTAATTACTATGTATCGTAAAACACAGCATAAAATCAGTTGAGCCCTAAAGACAGGATTCTAGGCTGCGGTCACAAGCACAAACTAAAGCCCAGTTAAAGCTGCATTACCTGACGTTACTTTTGTGGATTCATTACAAAAATTCAATCCATATCCATGCAGTGCATTGGGATAACATCCTTTATAAGAAAAAGTAGCGCAAGATTTGTGCGGGCGTGTCATTTTATATTAGATCGAGTTTTCTCTCGGAGGAGAATGTGTTTCGGGTCCAGATTGTGACCAATCACAGCGGACCACTGTCCCCCACTTTCTTGAGAAAAGCTGCAGGTCTCTTGTTAGCACAGACAGCTAAGGTTAACAAGCGGCGGAGGCTAACCTGAAGCTTCCCGTGCCTTCGTTACCGGTTACTGCTTACACAGCGAACAGCCATCCAAAAGAAAGTCCTCAACTGGGCTTGAGCACCTAGCAGTTGCAAACTTTTGCATTCTCCCTTGCTTGTGACCCTTCACGTACCGCCCCTGGACCGTGGTAAAGGGGTTGCAGGGTAAATTTGTGGGTGATGGGCGTTTCCCACAGGGAAACTACCTTCTGTTTTGGCTGTCACAATGTGGTACACTTGTACACATTAACTCTCACTGATTTCAAAGAGCACTAGCCATGCTCGAGCTGGTTGGCGCACAGTAGCCGAGTGTAAACAGGAAGAGAATCTTAACTCGGATCCCAAGGTAGTCGCTGAAGTTAGTTTTAGCACCACCAGGCTGGACTGGAGCGCTGTAAATCATCCGCATTTGGTCTGGGCACAATCCTAGTTCATTTGTGAAAACCTATGTGACAGGGGGGGGGTGCTCTAAAACACCACGTTACATAGAGCTGTCTGGCAAACAAACTGTGATGGGCTGTGATGTATTATCTAACTCTTGTCTAACACAACCACAAATTAGATTATTTTTTTCTTTCTTTGCAATTGTGCAATAATTTGAATAATGTTACAAGTGCAATATGGGACTACATGTGTTTCGCTGTCACACAGAGCTACTAACAAGCATATATTCATGCACTGGAGTATACAGGTTCATACTTTGCTTTGGTATTCATCTTAACATAGATATTTTATTTCATTTTCAAGTATGAGAGTTGTGCTGTAGTTAATATTCACTTAGCTTGCATTGTGCTCCTGATTCCTACTGCTCTGTAACTTGTGCACCACTGGTGTGACGCGTAAAGGATCTCTCATCATCTTAAATCAATCCTCATACCCCCACCAAAAAGCATATGTTTTTGCCAGGGTTGTATTTTCTCTGTTGCTCTAATTGAGCTCTGTTAAGACGCTTGTTTATTTGAAATCAGACCAAATAAGGGAAAGTGGCGCCCTAGCCAGAGGGTGGGGGGGCGGCCTCTCTTATTTACAGTAGGTTGGAATCACTTCCTATCTCCTCATGATCGGCCTCCACACACTGCTCTTTAATCCAGTCACTGTAGAAAGTCTGCTGAAAACGGCTTAAGGTGAAAGCATATGGCCACAATCACACTTTCCAATTTCAGCTCTTTTTAGACTCGGTTTCAATTTTGGATAAAGTTGATTGGTTGTAACGGCAAAATGTTGCTTGGAAAGCTCTGAACAAGGCTTTAGTTACTTTAATGGTCAGCACCAAGAGTTATGGGCTGGGATTCTTTAACGGAATGAAACTCAGCCTCTACGAGTGCTTAGTTTTTATTGTACCGTATTTTATTTGTATGGTAAAATGATGTTTACACAATATATTTTGAAGGTCGCACGATCATTCACATCCAAGAGCTGATGATATGAGTACAGGTTTGTGGAGTCAGAGCCAAATTAAACCTGGAGCAGTTTGAATAAATGCTTTGGCCCTAGACCAGAATAACTACCATTACAGGCAAGTGCACAACTACAAGCACAAATACACACATACAACCGCTACACAATGGTCAGGAGTGTGAGACGGGGAAAGGGCTCATACAAACCCAACAGTGGTGCGGCTGTCGAACGTAAAGGACTTAATCTGCCCATTCTCCAAAAACACCTTCAATACATTTGGTATAAGAAGCAAAGAGTCGTCCTTGAGCATCGTCTGAAAACAGGAGAAAAAGGGCATGTCAACACGTGATTATCAGAAACTACTCATCATTGTTTTTGTTTTTTTATTCTAGATGTTTTCAAAGGTGGCCTGTCTTCAAAAGGAAGGTCTAAATATTAAACATTAAAGGTACACTGTGTAATTTATTATTGCCATCTAGCCATGAGATCTTATATTGCAGTCCTATGGTACTACGAAAGCCTTTGAGTCATTCACCAGACTGCCAAGGAAAGAATCCTTAAGTTTGATAAATGACCAGATCGCCAAACGTTTCAGGCCCTTGACACAATGGTGTGGCGGCGACATGTAAACAATACCGCGTTCTGAAGCGGCACCCACTAAACAGAGGCTCTACTGAGTTTTACCATGGATCTATTATAATATATAGTTTTACAAACGCGGTGTGAAGAGAAGAGACACATGGAGGAATATCGTCCTGTGGGAGCTTAAAACTTCAATGATCAAAGAAGCAGGAGATATACACAGCTGCAGCAGGACATGGCTTAAAAGCTCAAGTTAGCATTAGCATTAGCCACAGCGCCCTATCGCCATCACGGTAAGAAAATAGAACATTCACTCACGCTGCTGATAAAGTATTCTGGCGATTGTTTTTGAGGGGATTCTGTGTGTTTTATTTGAGGCTCGTCCCTGAATAAGTTTTAGTGGAAACTTGTGACAGTAGTAGTTTGGACTGCACTCGGATCGGGTCAGAACATCCTGAGATTCTGCCTCGTTCTCATTATTGTCAGTGTGAAAAAGTTACTTATTAATCTCGTTTGAGTCTGTTGTGTACAAACTACACAATGTACCTCCTGTTGTGTTAACGCTGTCTTTGGTGCGTGTGGTTTGCAATGTTGACACTTTATATAACTGTGGTCCTCATGGTTTCTTTTACATAACTGTGGTCCTGATGGTTCCTTCTTTAAACTTGTGAAGTCACGGTGAAAGCAACAATATCAGTAGCTCATGTGAAACGAAAACACGATTCTCGCATCCTTTTTGTCTCTGATCCACCACTGTTTTTCAAGATGGCGCATTGACATGGAGAGCACTCCTCTCCCATGGACACTTTTACACAGTTAAATTCTAAGCCTATGAAAACAATGGTGGAGGTAAATATTCTTAAAAAGGTCACATCTGTTTTTAGTTGACATGTTTTTTTCATATGGATCAGCTGTAAAAATTACACAGGGTGGCTTTAAACATGGAATTGTTGTCTGAGAATCAAACCGTGTTTGTGTGGGGGGTAAAAACAGTTGCACTAGAATGACCAACGAGTTCAGTCAGAAATTTGTTGCAATAGATCTAATATACAGCTGTTGACAATGGCTCTTGCTCTTAAGATAGTTTACTTTAACAGTTATTTACAAAGCACTCCATCCTTTTCGAAGCTTCTCATCAATAAAGTCAACAGGAAAGCAGCTGCCATACAGCACACAGTTTGTTTATAGCCTCCACAGGGGGTAATGTAATTATCCGGGTTTGTGTGTCTGGTCTGTTCCGTAAAAAAATCTCGGAAATGGTAAGTGGAACAAACAATTTCAATTTGGAGGTAATTCAGACCACTGTATATATCCAAGATTGTTTAAGGAATCAATAGAGTATAAGTAACCTCTCCATAATCTCCAACTCTACACTTTGACACATGTTTTGGCTCTATACCCATATGGACCTCGCTCGGAAAGGAATAAACAACAAGACAACTTACTGAGTCTGGGTCACTGATGGACACTTGCTCAGAAAAAGCGCACTTTGGGCGGGTTGGTGCGGAAGTCGAGCCTTTTTGGCTGCACTGATGAAGGCAGACTTAGGTGACTGAGGAAAGGCAAGAGAAACTCTTGAGTCAGCTTGTGAAAACATAAATGAGAGAAACGGCTCTATGACTGCCAAGATGATCTGTTTTACAGGATCTAATGCTGCTGCACTGCGACAGCAATTCATCTTACAGCACAGCACGCAGAACATTTGAGCTTTAGATTTCTCATGTCAAAGATGAACATGAGAGATCACACTGCTGTTTGGGGAAATACCCACATATTTTATTCAATAACCAATACATTTTATCCTAAACATGTGCGGGTCTAAAGGAACCACATAAGATTTTGATTCCAAATGATATCTTCTTTGATCTGTGTCCCTAGCCACAAATACAATTAGAATTTTGTTCTCATAAGGTTGTTTATTTCTGTTATTCAATCGTTACACTTAAAAGCAGTTTAGACTCATGACATGCAAAGTGACATATCCCAAGCCTTTGTTATGAATTTGAAAATCATAGCTAACAGTTCATTAAAACCAAAAAAAATTCTGTGGCTTTTACAAGTTGAGAGCCCGGTTATTAATTGTTCTGACTAAAAAGGCTTGATATATTTCACTTTGCGAGTAAGGGAGTCTGTCATTTATTAGTTTCACATTGGCACAGGAAGTATATAGACTTTTGAACAATATTCGGGATTTGACATGTTTTCTCGTTCACGCAGTAAAATTTACCAAGTAGAATATGCAAACATGTTGGTAAAGCTTCAAATTGCATAAACATACAACCAGACCCTAATATTATTGCATAATCGTCCAAAGAAGGCGCCAAAAGAAGAGGACAGCCTGTTCTTTTACCTGATGAGGCTGGAGCACAGTGAGAACGGATTGTGGTCTTTACAGCATCTGTGGAATGGTTAACACAGTGGAGTGGTATTAGGTAATGCCATGTACAGCCTGTATTTTCAGAGCTTCATGTTTCTACCATTTCTCACTTTCTGCTGCAAAACACTGACTCATCCCAGGTTTGTGTTGTTATGTTGTATGAACAGAATTATGCCAGCTTGGTCCAAGATCTCCCTTTTCCTTGTTGTTTTCTCCTGTCCCAAATGGCCTGCACCCCACCCTATATGCTTCCCTCCCTTTTGGGACAGTAAAGGATGTTACCTTACAAGGTCTATGACTCTCTCTCGCGGCGCCTCGCTCACCGTCTCCTCGTTAATGGCCAAGATCTGGTCTCCAGGAAGAAGCTTGCCAAAAGAAGGGCCGTCTACAGAAAGAAGCATTTGAATTGCTACATTATTCTTGATTCTAGGGCTATGCATTAATGAAAAAAAGTGCTATATGTGACAGCGGATTTTTTATACCAAAAGAAATCAATCTCGTTTGGTCAAACTCACTACAAACTTGGTATTTCCATCCATCCATTTCCATTTTCTACCCTTTCTAATCCATTTCTGGGTCAGGGGGGTGGCAATCAGAGATGCCACCCAAGTCTCATAGCACCAGCCCCCTCACTGACCCTCTGCAGGTGGGTGAGTCCACAGGAGGACGGCTGCTCTCTGAGTGTGGAGCGATAGCCTTGATCTTTCAGCTGTGGGTCGTTTGGGCAAAAGTGGGGTTGAAAGATGGTCTTGGCCGAAGGTCTCAACGACACAGTTCGCAATCAGTGGGGAGTCGGTAGGGGAATAAGGTGCAGTGGTGGGAAGGGGAGTGTCGTTCCATAGCTATATTAATGATAAATAAAATCCTTCGCTCCTCAACAATCAACTCAACGGAGAGAGGATCAATAAGGAGCGAAGGATTTTATTTAGCATTAATATAGCTATGGAACGGACACTCCCCAGTTCCCACCACTGCACCTGATTCCCCTACCGACTCCCCACTGATTGCGAACTGCTGTCGTTGTCGACCTTCGGCCAAGACCATCTTTCAACCCCACTTTTGCCCAAGCCACCCCACTGAAAGATCAAGGCTATGCTCACACTCAGCGAGCAGCCGTCCTCCTGTGGACTCACCACCTGCAGAGGGTCAGTGAGGGGCTGGTGCTATGAGACTTGGGTGGCATCTCTGATTGCCACCCCCCTGACCCAGAAATGGATTAAAGGGTAGAAAATGGAAATGGGTAGGATGGAAATACCAAGTTTGTAGTGAGTTTGACCAAAGAGAGATTGATTTCTTTTGGTATAAAAAATCCGCTGTCACATATTGCACTATTTTGTCATTAATGCATAGCCCTAGAATCAAGAATAATGTAGCAATTCAAATGTTCTTTCTGTAAGGACGGGCCCTTCTTTTGGCAACTTCTTCCTGGAGACCAGATCTTGGCCATTAACGAGGAGACGGAGAGCGATGGCGCCCGCGAGGAAGAGAGTCATAGACCTTGTAAGGTAACATCCTTTACTGGTCCCTAAAGGGAGGGAAGCATATAGGGTGGGGTGCAGGCCATTTGGGACAGGAGAAAACAACAAGGAAAAGGGAGATCTTGGACCAAGCTGGCATAATTCTGTTCATACAACATAACAACACAAACCTGGGATGAGTCAGTGTTTTGCAGCAGAAAGTGAGAAATGGTAGAAACATGAAGCTCTGAAAATACAGGCTGTACATGGCATTACCTAATACACTCCACTGTGTTCTTCCACAGATGCTGTAAAGACACAATCGTTCTCACTGTGCTCCAGCCTCATCAGGTAAAAGAACAGGCTGTCCTCTTCTTTTGGCGCCTTCTTTGGACGATTATGCAATAATATAGGGTCTGGTTGTATGTTTATGAAATTTGAAGCTTTACCAACATGTTTGCATATTCTACTGTGGTAAATTACTGCGTGAACGAGAAACATGTCAAATCAGAATATTGTTCAAAAGTCTATTTACTTCTGTCCAATGTGAAACTAATAAATGACAGACTCATTACTCGCCAAAGTGAAATATATCAAGCCTTTTTAGTCAGAAAATTAATAACCGGCTCTCAACTTGTAAAAGCCACAGAATTTTTTTTGGTTTTAATGAACTGTTAGCTATGATTTTCAAAATTATAACAAAGGCTTGGGGATATGTCACTTTGCATGTCATGAGTCTAAACTGCTTTTAAGTGTAAGATTGAATAACAGAAATAAACAACCTTTTGAACAAAATTCTAATTGTATTTGTGGCTAGGGACACAGATAAAAGAAGATATCATTTGGAATCAAAATCTTATATATGTGGTTCCTTTAGACACGCACATGTTTAGGATAAAATGTATTGGTTATTGAATAAAATATGTGGGTATTTCCCCAAACAGCAGTGTGATCTCTCATGTTCATCTTTTGACATGAGAAATCTAAAGCTCAAATGTTCTGCGTGCTGTGCTGTAAGATGAATTGCTGTCGCAGTGCAGCAGCATTAGATCCGGTAAAACAGATCATCTTGGCAGTCATAGAGCCGTTTCTCTCATTTATGTTTTCACAAGCTGACTCAAGAGTTCTCTTGCCTTTCCTCAGTCACCTAAGTCTGCCTTCATCAGTGCAGCCAAAAAGGCTCGACTCCGCACCAACCCCCCCAAAGTGCGCTTTTCTGAGCAAGTGTCCATCAGTGACCCAGACTCAGTAAGTTGTCTTGTTGTTTATTCCTTTCCGAGCGAGGTCCATATGGGTATAGAGCCAAAACATGTGTCAAAGTGTAGAGTTGGAGATTATGGAGAGGTTACTTATACTCTATTGATTCCTTAAACAATCTTGGATATATACAGTGGTCTGAATTACCTCCAAATTGAAATTGTTTGTTCCACTTACCATTTCCGAGATTTTTTTACGGAACAGACAGACACACAAACCCGGATAATTACATTACCCCCTGTGGAGGCTATAAACAAACTGTGTGCTGTATGGCAGCTGCTTTCCTGTTGACTTTATTGATGAGAAGCTTCGAAAAGGATGGAGTGCTTTGTAAATAACTGTTAAAGTAAACTATCTTAAGAGCAAGAGCCATTGTCAACAGCTGTATATTAGATCTATTGCAACAAATTTCTGACTGAACTCGTTGGTCATTCTAGTGCAACTGTTTTTACCCCCCACACAAACACGGTTTGATTCTCAGACAACAATTCCATGTTTAAAGCCACCCTGTGTAATTTTTACAGCTGATCCATATGAAAAAACATGTCAACTAAAAACAGATGTGACCTTTTTTAAGAATATTTACCTCCACCATTGTTTTCATAGGCTTAGAATTTAACTGTGTAAAAGTGTCCATGGGAGAGGAGTGCTCTCCATGTCAATGCGCCATCTTGAAAAACAGTGGTGGATCAGAGACAAAAAGGATGCGAGAATCGTGTTTTCGTTTCACATGAGCTACTGATATTGTTGCTTTCACCGTGACTTCACAAGTTTAAAGAAGGAACCATCAGGACCACAGTTATGTAAAAGAACCATGAGGACCACAGTTATATAAAGTGTCAACATTGCAAACCACACGCACAAAGACAGCGTTAACACAACAGGAGGTACATTGTGTAGTTTGTACACAACAGACTCAAACGAGATTAATAAGTAACTTTTTCACACTGACAATAATGAGAACGAGGCAGAATCTCAGGATGTTCTGACCCGATCCGAGTGCAGTCCAACTACTACTGTCACAAGTTTCCACTAAACTTATTCAGGGACGAGCCTCAAATAAAACACACAGAATCCCCTCAAAACAATCGCCAGAATACTTTATCAGCAGCGTGAGTGAATGTTCTATTTTCTTACCGTGATGGCGATAGGGCGCTGTGGCTAATGCTAATGCTAACTTGAGCTTTTAGCCATGTCCTGCTGCAGCTTGTGTATATCTCCTGCTTCTTTGATCATTGAAGTTTTAAGCTCCCACAGACGATATTCCTCCATGTGTCTCTTCTCTTCACACCGCGTTTGTAAAACTATATATTATAATAGATCCATGGTAAAACTCAGTAGAGCCTCTGTTTAGTGGGTGCCGCTTCAGAACGCGGTATTGTTTACATGTCGCCGCCACACCATTGTGTCAAGGGCCTGAAACGTTTGGCGATCTGGTCATTTATCAAACTTAAGGATTCTTTCCTTGGCAGTCTGGTGAATGACTCAAAGGCTTTCGTAGTACCATAGGACTGCAATATAAGATCTCATGGCTAGATGGCAATAATAAATTACACAGTGTACCTTTAATGTTTAATATTTAGACCTTCCTTTTGAAGACAGGCACCTTTGAAAACATCTAGAATAAAAAAACAAAAACAATGATGAGTAGTTTCTGATAATCACGTGTTGACATGCCCCTTTTTCTCCTGTTTTCAGACGATGCTCAAGGACGACTCTTTGCTTCTTATACCAAATGTATTGAAGGTGTTTTTGGAGAATGGGCAGATTAAGTCCTTTACGTTCGACAGCCGCACCACTGTTCGGGTTTGTATGAGCCCTTTCCCCCGTCTCACACTCCTGACCATTGTGTAGCGGTTGTATGTGTGTATTTGTGCTTGTAGTTGTGCACTTGCCTGTAATGGTATTATTCTGGTCTAGGGCCAAAGCATTTATTCAAACTGCTCCAGGTTTAATTTGGGCTCTGACTCCACAAACCTGTACTCATATCATCAGCTCTTTGGATGTGAATGATCGTGCGACCTTCAAAATATATTGTGTAAACATCATTTTACCATACAAATAAAATACGGTACAATAAAAACTAAGCACTCGTAGAGGCTGAGTTTCATTCCGTTAAAGAATCCAGCCCATAACTCTTGGTGCTGACCATTAAAGTAACTAAAGCCTTGTTCAGAGCTTTCCAAGCAACATTTTGCCGTTCAACCAATCAACTTTATCCAAAATTGAAACCGAGTCTAAAAAAGAGCTGAAATTGGAAAGTGTGATTGTGGCCATATGCTTTCACCTTAAGCCGTTTTCAGCAGACTTTCTACAGTGACTGGATTAAAGAGCAGTGTGTGGAGGCCGATCATGAGGAGATAGGAAGTGATTCCAACCTACTGTAAATAAGAGAGGCCGCCCCCCACCCTCTGGCTAGGGCGCCACTTTCCCTTATTTGGTCTGATTTCAAATAAACAAGCGTCTTAACAGAGCTCAATAGAGCAACAGAGAAAATACAACCCTGGCAAAAACATATGCTTTTTGGTGGGGGTATGAGGATTGATTTAAGATGAAGAGATCCTTTACGCGTCACACAGTGGTGCACAAGTTACAGAGCAGTAGGAATCAGGAGCACAATGCAAGATAAGTGAATATTAACTACAGCACAACTCTATACTTGAAAATGAAATAAAATATCTATGTTAAGATGAATAACAAAGCAAAGTATGAACCTGTATACTCCAGTGCATGAATATATGCTTGTTAGTAGCTCTGTGTGACAGCGAAACACATGTAGTCCCATATTGCACATTGTAACATTATTCAAATTATTGCACAATTGCAAAGAAAGAAAAAAATAATCTAATTTGTGGTTGTGTTAGACCAAGAGTTAGATAATACATCACAGCCCATCACAGTTTGTTTGCCAGACAGCTCTATGTAACGTGGTGTTTTAGAGCACAGTCACATAGGTTTTCACAAATGAACTAGGATTGTGCCAGACCAAATGCGGATGATTTACAGCGCTCAGTCCAGCTGGTGGTGCTAAAACTAACTTCAGCGACTACCTTGGGATCCGAGTTAAGATTCTCTTCCTGTTTACACTCGGCTACTGTGCGCCAACCAGCTCGAGCATGGATAGTGCTCTTTGAAATCAGTGAGAGTTAATGTGTACAAGTGTACCACATTGTGACAGCAAAACAGAAGGTAGTTTCCCTGTGGGAAACGCATCCCCACAAATTTACCCTGCACCCCTTTACCACGGTCCAGGGGCTGACGTGAAGGGTCACAAGCAAGGGAGAATGCAAAAGTTTGCAACTGCTAGGTGCTCAAGCCCAGTTGAGACTTTCTTTTGGATGGCTGTTCCGCTGTGTAAGCAGTAACCGGTAACGAAGGCACGGGAAGCTTCAGGTTAGCCTCCGCCGCTTGTTAACCTTAGCTGTCTGTGCTAACAAGAGACCTGCAGCTTTTCTCAAGAAAGTGGGGGACAGTGGTCCGCTGTGATTGGTCACAATCTGGACCCGAAACACATTCTCCTCCGAGAAAACTCGATCTAATATAAAATGACACGCCAGCACAAATCTGCGCTACTTTTTCTTATAAAGGATGTTTATCCCAATGCACTGCATGGATATGGATTGAATTTTTGTAATGAATACAAAAGTAACGTCAGGTAATGCAGCTTTAACTGGGCTTTAGTTTGTGCTTGTGACCGCAGCCTAGAATCCTGTCTTTAGGGCTCAACTGATTTTATGCTGTGTTTTACGATACATAGTAATTAGCACCAGAGTGTGACCTATTTTGCTATTGTCTGATATAACATTATGGCCACTTTTTGAATTGCTTTTGAGATTATTTTTTATTTGAGATGAAGTTGCTGTCACATACACTGTAAATACAACCATTCCTGGCCACCTGCTGCATCTGCTGCCCACAAACAGGTTTCATGATTCACTCAGACTTTTACCTCATTTCCAAGCCTCTAGTCTAACTGATCCAGAAATCAGTAGTTGTTTGTTAACTGTTATGCATATATGTAGAATTTCGTTGGTGTGAAATACAAATGTGTCTTTAGACTAGATTTAAGCTGCTCTAGTGTACAGAGGTAAACTAGACTCTCCGCTGCTCAGCTCGCTTTATTACTTGAACTTATTTGCTTGTTTGTCCTGAAGGTGCTTTTAAGAAAACTTTTTTATCTACATTTCTGAAAGAGGAGTGGACATATCTCATCACTCAGGTGAAAAGAGAAGCTGGAGCTAAAAACAACGATTTCAGTTTTATTCCACTTGATAATTAAAAATGTTGGGCCAGCCAAGTTTTAACCTCCTGGAGACAATTACTTATTTTAATAAATGACCAACAGTGGGTTTTAAAGACTTGCAAGTTATCAGTGTAAGCCTAATTTACTTAATAATATGCAAATAAGAAGTATAGATGAATAAACTTGCAAAAACATCTTTAGTCAAACAGCAGCAGTTGTAGGAGCTGTGTGAAAAGAAGTACAGAAAGGCACATGACCAGAATACTTATAAGCGACGCAGGGTAAGTGTAATCGCCCAGAAAACCAAAAGTCTACTAAACCTTTATCTATGCGGCTACAGCAGCACCCCCTAGTGAATACATAGAAAATTGCATAACAGACAAAAAAAAGGAAACATGGTTATATATTTACACATAGGTCTGGTTTCAGTATTGTTTTTGAAGAACACTAGCTTCGGTGGACAGGTGCCTAAACAACAGTGTATGAACTCTGTATTCTCTGTAAACTATAATGAATTAGTTAGAATTAGTTATAATGAAAAGCATAGGATTTAGGTGTAATTGTATAACGATGTGATTGGTTCTTTCAGGATGTGATTGCCTCGCTGCAGGACCGCCTTTCTCTGCGATACATTGAGCATTTTGCTTTAGTGCTTGAGGCAGCTGGAATGGATCATCACCAGAGGCTCCAACTGCTGCAGGAGAACCAGCCTCTGACACACGTAAAAAGGCTCCTATGTGTCATCATGTTTTTGAGGCAAAATCAGTGTACATGTTCTGGGAGGTACTGTGCGAATGAGAATCAGTAGGAAAACCTTATGTGTAAAAAGGTGTGGAGCAGTGTGGTGTGGTGTGCAGGCCTAGACCCTTTGGCCAGGTCCAGGTGTCTGCAATCGGAGAGAGTGCTCTCTGGGACGCCCCTGTTAAGGTCCCAGCTCAGACCCTAAGCCAATCCAAACCTGCACACAGAAAAGTTGAGAAGCAATGCAATCCCATACCCGGGCACATAACAATAGGACACAGGGTTTGTACAATTTCCAGCTAAACTACAGCAGGTGGATTGCATTGATAGTGTGTATAGGAGCTATTACAGGCAATAAGATTCTGGCTTCTGATGATTGTAATTATGATGACTATACCACTCTTTTTTTTAAACATGTGTTTATTTATTTCAAGTAGCTGTGTTACAAAAGACTAGACTAATAAAGGTTTATGTTCAGTTGCATCATTACTGATTTATCAATAATAGTAGATATCGGTGCCAATAAACAGCCGACCTCCACTTTATAGCCTTAAAATATATTTGGAGAAAAATCTTCAGATTCTTCACACTGCTACATCTGATTGGATAGAATATCCTCGAATAATAAATGAGGGTATTTTCAACTAAATGTAAACTATATTTACTGATTATTTCCTTGGCTAATAAACAGAAAGGACTGAACTGTTGCTTTATTCCTCCAGGTTGTACACCGAACCTACTTCCAAGGGATGAAGTGTCTTTTCCGTGTGTGTTTTTTCCCCAAAGACCCTTCAGATCTGCTGAGGAGAGATCCTGCTGCGTTTGAGTACCTCTATATTCAAGTAAGTCTGGTTCTAAAAGAATAATACTTCATATTCCAGACGTATGACACACGTGGGTGGATTGAGTTGTGTAAATAATGTCATGTATATTTTACGTGCATTTAGTTCATGATGTTTAGAAACTGTTTTTTATGGATTCGTGTTTGAATATACCCCAGAAAGAATAGCTAATAGGATCTGAATACTGAAAAACAAATACGTTTATTTGTCCCTCAGAGTCGAAATGACGTAATCAAGGAACGTTTTGGTATTGACTGGAAGTCTGACATTACTTTACGTCTGGCTGCACTGCACATTTTCATCACTGTGTCTTCAGCGAGACCGAGTCAGAAGATCTCACTGAAGCATGTAGAGTAAGTTCAAACCCTTTTAATGTTGTTTATTTTTCATTTTCTGTTATTTTGATGATTTGGATTCAAGGATTTGGATTCATTTCAGTTTGACATTGAAGTGACTGACATTCACTTTAAAATGATCATTTTTGGTCAACCACAGCTACTACCAAATGCACTTAAATTATTGGGGCACTGGTCAGATTCAACTACTGTCTGGTAGAAGAATAAATGAGGCCCTTTGTTGAATTGGGATGATGACATTTAATAGTTTTCTGATACAGTCACAGTTTTCTAAGTGTGCTCTCTCTTATACAGGAAAGAGTGGGGGCTTGAACCTTTTCTTCCTCTCACTCTCCTCCCTTTGGTCAAGGAAAAAAATGTTTGTAAGAGTCTGTCTCAGTTACTGAAGACTTACCAGCACGCCCCGCCATCTGGAAACAAGGTGATCTTTATACAATAAAATCGGTCGTTACACAAATGTGCTACAGAACGTGTTACCCCCTCGAGCATAATATTAGTATTATTATTTTTATGAAACGCCTGGAAAAGTGAATGATCCAAAATAAGCTGCATTTATTTCAAGGCAAATCAAACAAAAAAGCTTTTAACTCAAATTAGGTATGGTCCACAATCTTGCTAAATTGAATAAGGTTTTTACATGTGTTATTACAGGTCCATATAATAAATGTTCAGTTAAATTTGCGTTTGCAGTGAATGGGGATCTGTTTAAAACTCAACAGTTTCTCATTATACAATCAATTAGACCCTTAGACTTAGACCCAACTATATCTCATTTAAAATATGTAGACATTCTTTAGAGTTTGACCTTTCTCTGTGAAGAGATAATTTACACTTTTGGAGTGAAATAGTCCAAATTGGGGTTAAATAGTCATCAGAGGCAAAAAACTACAGGCTTCGGAGTCCAGCCATAAGATTGTGCTCCAAAGGGAATTAAAACAAATCCAATTTTAATGATTACATTATATTGCAGTTGATTTAGAGAAAACAGGCAGAATGTGTTAGGGCTTTTTAAACTAACTGTTTAACTTGAGTTTGTTTCCTTGTGACATGTTCTTGGGATTTGTGTGACTCAACAGTGCCCTCCAGCGGCTGTTGAGTGAATCAAACCTTTCTATTTTTATGTGATCTTGTTTTCTCGCTTTGTCCGCAGGTCCCTCCGCTGCAGGGGAAGCTTCAATACATGCGTGTACTTAATGACCTACCCCCATTTGGTGGAATTTTATTTAATACTGTTGAAGTGGTAATTGTGTACATATTAACATACAATATATCATTTTTGTAACTATTATTTTAGCTAATACACCTTTCCTTATGTGAAATAAAACACATATTTGAAGGATGAGAAACAGTCTGCAACAACCCTCCTAGTCGGTCCTCGCCACGGCATCAGTCATGTGATTGACCTTAAAAACAACCTGACCACTGTTCTGGCTGAATTCAGCAGAGTCTCCAAAGTCCAGCTCTACAGAGAGAGCCAAGGTGTGGCTCGGGTCGAGGTGTCAATGCACGACTCCAAGGTAATACGAACATTATAATAAAACATTCTTCAATAATAATAAAATATATCAACTCATCATTATGGACATTATTAAGTTAGTTATTTGTTGAGTTTAGTTGTATTGTTTAGTCAGGTTTTATTTTGTCTTTGTTGTCCTAGACCTGTGTGTGTGTGCGTCTGTGTGTTTGTGTGTGTGTTTTGTTAAAAAAAGGAAAAAAACATATATATCAAAAAAAGTTTAAAAGATGTATATGATTCCCTTCTCTGCAGCCCCTGGTTCTTCTCATGGAATGGCCAGATGCTACTAACTTTGCGTGTCTGATCTCCGGCTACTACAAACTGTTTGTTGATCCAAAGCGAACTATCTTCTTTCGTAACCCTGCTCAATCTCAATTAACTAAGACAGGTATGTTCCAGTACTCCATTGATGTGAAAAGTATCAAGTGATTATATTACCAAATAGCGTGATTGTCTTGGAAAATGTTATGTACAGTATGTAAACATCAATGACACTCATGACTTCTACCATTGCCAGTCACAAGATTGTTTTTAAAACTTCCATTTCCATCTCTCCATCTGAACTGGACGCGCCGTCATCATTTGTAGTTCAAGATACAACATTGTGGATTCACTGCATTTCATTTAGTGGTAAATTTTGAGTAAGATATAGAAGTCAAAAATTCTCAACCATCCTGTCAACAGAGATTGTCATCATACCATCACATTCCAGAAACTAACCCTCAAACTTAACCAAGCTTCAACTGTCAACCATCTGAAGTAACACAGTCAATGTGGCATCAGCTGCTTTCTCTACACAACTTGTAGCAACTCAAACTGTCCACTGCTCTGACCATTCTGTCCCCAGATTACAGAAGCTCCTTCCATGGCTACTCCCGCTCTGGAGCGAGCAGCTTGCCCAGTGGAGGGCGGCGAGGGGACGACAGGGAGAGCTCTCACAGGGAGTCGGGCTCACTACGGGCCTCTGCTCCGGCTGAGCCCCAGCACCTTGGACTGTGTCATGTCCACCTCCGAGAAAGAGACCAGCATTTCCAGGAGTTTCAAACTGCTACGGATACAGAACTGGACATAAACGAGAACTTTATACCTCAAGACCCAACTGATCGGCCTCGCACCAAGTCTGATCCAACCTTACAAAGCACGGAGGAAATACCAACTGTTCCAGACATCGCTGTAAAGGAGAATACGGAGTTTAGAATACGTGCCCAGGCCGTGAATCAATCACAGAAAAACACGCGCTATTTCTGTGATTCGTGCAAAGCCCGGCTGAGAGCGGAGGGTGTAGTGATAAATAGTAGTGGTAGCTCAGGTAAACACTGCTCCAGTAGTTGTGCCTCTCGAGATGGAGGTGCTGTTGACCTCACTGCCCTCCCACCCCCAGGAAACGAATTAGAAGATGAGGAAGAAGTTACAAATGGCACAGAGCGGCTACAACTGCCAACACCTGCTATAGCTGCCCCTCCACCTGGCTTCAGGGACAATAGCTCCGATGAGGATGACACAAAAAGAGGTCGAAAAGCACGAACTGGTCTTGGCTCAAGAATTGTCGCAGTAAATGTGGCCCAAGCTAAAGAAGACGTGCCTGTGACACTGATTGATAATGTTTCCACAAGAACTGTCCGTGACCATGCCCAGGAGCTGGACGATGCCCTTGTGTCCACCTTGCAGGCCCTGGAGGCTTTGGCTGCCTCTGAGGACTACCCGCATCATTCGCAACAGCCGACACAGACTGCAGGTCAACAAGATGTTGTACACACCACACACGTACATTAACTGTATATTCATGTAGCATAATAACAAGGCAGTAAACATGATAAACACTAGGAGCAATACAGTTTTTAACACCAATCCAACCTTGGAAAATCCTAAATTAAATGTAGCAATCTTTTTTGACTAATCTTGGGAAAACAGTCTATGCGTTTGTTTGTCAGTGCTACTCTCAGCTTTGGGGAAAATATTTTTGCGGAAGCAGGTCATAGATTTTAAAATTTGGAATTGACTTGAAATATTGCTTTAGGTGTCCAGAAAATACAAAGCTATCTCCTGTATTGTACTGTACTTTTATTAAACATTTATATTTGTTTTCTTTTAGGTCTGATTGTGTTGGCTGCCATTACACCTGAATCCTCCCTGGACTCAGGGCATGAGACTAACTCATCTGAACTCACCGATGTCTCTGAGATGATGTCTGCAATGAAGCAGAACCAAAGCCAAACTTACCTTTTAGCTCATCATATCAACAAAGACCGCATTATCTGTCGGCGCGACTTCCCCCTTGCAATTCCTGGTTGTACCGCTAAAACTATAGGTACTGGAGCTTTCTCTGTGGGGCAGATACGTGCTGGCTGTCCGCCCAAACAAGTTATCCTCAGCAAGACTGTTCCCTTTAAGGTCAGCCCTGGGCAAGATTCTGCAATACTTCGGGTGATGGCAGAACAGGCAAGCAGCCATGACGCACTGCAGAGTGAACATAAAGCATTAATTAAGGCGAACATTGAGACCTCCAAAGTAAAAACAAATGGTGTCCCTGATAAATCATTCAAAGAAGCAAAACTATCTGAAATGTTTTTGTATGATCCAAAATTAACCAATTCAATTTTAGAACCACAGGGACAAAGTATTGCAGAAAGTAATCAAGTAAATACATTAACCTCTACTAAAAAGGACTCTAATAAAGCCTCACCAATTATCTCTCCTGTGGACATAACTGCCTCTGCCAAAATTGCTCCAAATTGCAAAGACGCAGAGACTGTCTCTAGTGAGACCATCAAGCCTTTTAGTGCTATTGATGTTCTGCCAGTGGATGATCTCTTCTGCACATGCCCAGTGCAGCAAGAGTCTGTGACTCAATTACGACCCAAGGATCCACAAATCCAAAAAGTAGTGATGTTTCAGTCTTCTTCTCCTACTGACGACGAGCGCCTTCGTGCTAAAGGTTTGCAGATAACCAACATGAAAGAAAATGTTGTGAAAGGTGGTGAAGAGCCCAGTTTGGGCAAACCCAGCCCACAGTTGCAAACTAAGTACTCCCCACGTCAACCTGTAAAATCTGACACAAAAGATGCAACTGAAACTAAAGCTGAAGTTACACAGACCAAATCACACACTGAGACAACTAAACCAAAATCATTACCTATTTTAGATGACCCCACAGCAACTTGTGCATCTGTTGGTAAAGTTTCTACTCTTCCTACCAGAGAGTCAAAGAAGCAAGGGACTGGTAAAATGAAATCTCATCGCAGTGCACCATTTTTAAGCTTCAGAAATCTTTTGTCTGCAACATTTCCCGCAAGAATGAGAAGAGAGACAGATGAACGAAGGGCCCAGCTGCAGAAAGTGCGACAATATGAAATGGAGTTCTTAGAGGAGCTGCTCAAACCCAAGTCATCCCAGGGAGAGTTTCTTCCCCAAGGGTCTTCACCCGTGCCAGGTGGCACTCCATGTGCTTGCCAGCTTCGCACAAGCCCTGTTTTAAAGGCTCCAGGAATTTCCAGGGAGCAAAGACGCAGTTGTGACTGTAAACGTATGTGCAGAGGTATGCGACTGCCTGATACACCTGTTGGTTCTATAACAGAAACACAGCAGAGGGGCAGAGAGAGAAATGCTTCAAAAACACCTCCTTCAACCTCTCACACCCCAGGATCAACTAGAAGACCTCAGACTTTAGAGATCAAGACCACACGGATTCGCTCCACAAGCCTCGAGTCCCGAAAACCAAGAGGGGAAGCTGGCTCTGGTCTGCCTTCTTCTGTTTCCCACACAGATGGTATGGCAGCCCCACAGCAGAAGAAACTGCAGAGGCGGTACAGTTTTGGAGAGCTTGATAACAATACTAATACACCAGTGTATGCAGAAGTGAAGCCTAAAGCAAAGAGTCTAGAGAAGGAAATGGAGAGAGTGAGGGCCACAGGACTGCGGCTCCCTACCCCTATAGAACCAGTGCATATAGAATCACATCAGGCGGATGTAAAGGTGAAGAAGGGTGTGTTTTTCATTCAGGGGGAGGACCAGAGTGAAGGCAAAGAGGGAGCACCAGAGGTGGTACTCACCCTGCCCACTGAGGACATTCATGAAAGAGAAAAGTGCTGCTCCTTCTGTTTCTGCTACAGAAAATGTGAGGCGGCTGATGAGAGCAGTGAGAAAGATGAGCTCTCCTATTCTATACCACTTCAAGTTTTACCAGGCATGGAGCTGGACTCGCACACATTTCCTGTTGTTAGCAAAACTCTCCAGGTTCTGAATGCTGAGGATTGTAGTGGTGAGGAAGAGGAGGTGGAGGAAGAGGACCCTCACACACAGGAGATAGACCTTAGAGCCTGTGGCACTCAAGAGGGAAGCTTAGCACGGGTACAAGCTCTGCAAGAGAAAACCTTCAGCCTCCCCGATGGCTTCTTAAATGCACAGTTGGATGCGAATGAATTGCTGGCTATTCTGCGTCAGTGTGCTAACAGTCCACAAGCAGAGGGAGAGGGTAGGCTCCAGCCGTCACGGATTACAGAGTACAAGCAGGAGTTAGCAGTTCGCTTCAAAGAGTTTAGAGCATCATGCCGCCGTGTGGCTAGTGTTGAGAAAAGTCCCAGTCGGATGCTTGCTGCTGTCACAGCCAGTTTTCAGGTACTGTGTGAATTAACACAGACCTTCATCAAGCTTATCAGAGGGGTTCGGTCTGAAGCCCAAAGACTACAGCTTTTAAGGAAAGTTGAAGAAGTTGCTGTCAATTACACACTGTTACTTCGGGCAGCTGAAGAATCTATGGGACATTCCAGCAGCCTGCCAACAAAGACTGTGACACCCCAAGTTCCCTCCAATGCCAATAACATGAACTCACTCTCTCGACCCATAAAAACGCTACCTTCCCAGTAGGGCAGGAAGACACCGATCACACAGTTTGGAATGTTGATAGCTTCTATATCTGAAGTCATTATTTATTTATTGTTTACATTTTTTACAAGACTAGCAGTGGATCATCCTCTATAAACTGCCATGCAGTCGTTCCATCTCATGTTTACAGGCCCTGAGGTAGCCTTGTGGATCTTAGAAAACAAGATAAGATACACCAAGCAAATGCACAATGGAATAAGTACCCTATACCAAACTGGGTATTACAGGGCTAGTCACCATGCATCAAAATGAACATTAAGCTGTATTATATTATATAATATTTTGTATGTAATATATAAATATATATTTGAATTGTATCTACTTAGCAAATAATATAAAGTTTTGTGGAGATTAAAGGTGATGACTATAATACAGTATTTATTTAAACACGTAATACGTAAACAAAACGTTATAATAACACAACATCTAAAATAAATGTATGCTCTGGACATTAATATTGCTAAAAAAAAATTGTGAAGTAGCAACTTCTGTAAAATAAATAGTTAAAGGCTGGTTGGTGGTTACAGTAGATGGTAATATGTGTGTTGTGGGACTTTTCACTGTATTGCAAATAACAACGCTTGTTGGGTTGATGTTTGGTTTGTTGCAGGAGTCAAAATGTGAGGAGCACTGTTAGAAAATGAATATTTAAAAACCAACACATATACCTTCACTCACATAAACCCATGCTATCGGGGCAGAAAATGTAGCATAACCCCAAACTGAAGCCCTGTCCGGTGCAGTGTTGATACCTCATTCTGCTGTATTTCTACAGAACACTGTACTGAATGCACTTGCATCTAACCTGCTGTGAATATTTGTTCTGGAGTGTTATCACATAGTTTGCTCAATCGCACCATAAAATATCATTGTTTTGGTTCACCAACTTGCTGCTGAATATCCTTACAGTAGTTTAACAGATGAATGGACTTCTTGTTCTGCAGTCAGGGGTAGAATAGTATTTTCATTTTTGTGTGCTACTGAACATTGTCCAATCTCAACAACACAATATATTAATCACACAAGTTAGTTTTCTATGTATTTTAATAAAAGAAATATATCTGTTATTTGACCAGAATCTTATTTTGGTCACTTCTATGACTGAAAGCCTTTGTCACTGTATGTCACTGATTGGACAAGCTGTCAAAAGTTATTGAAATCTGATATTTTATAGTTTTATTTAAAGTAAAAATTATGGTATTTATTATCCAATTTGGGTAAAAGAAAATGGAAACAATATTTTTAAAAACTCGTCCAATTGTCTTTTTGTCCCCCATGTACTATATTTTCATATTTTTGTTGCACCACATTTAATAAATTTGCTTTTCAAAGACTGATATGAAATCAAATACAAAAGTGCATTATTCCAACTATAATTCTATGGGAAACCAATGAACCAAATAAAAGCCTGGGTTAGTTTTTATCAATGTATTAATTCATCCTGTAAGCTTTTGCTGTATAGAGCTTATATAGTGTAGACGCAAACAACAATTTATCAAGTATTTGTAAATACTGGTTACATTGGTTATTCCTATCAATATGTAACATAGAGTCTAAAGCAAATTGTATATTTTAAAGATACATTCTGAGTATATGAAGCATGGACCATGCTTATTTTTATAAATCAAATGATAAAATTATGATTATCATCATCACATTTTATGTAGTGTCCTCTCATTCACATTGCACATATGTGTGAATTTGTCTTTCATTCAGATTCACTGCTTGTTCCATTGGATTTACTTTGGACACCTGTTGTTTTCTTACTGTTGTCATCATGTTCTGTCTATGAAGATTGAACTCATGTTTTAAGAGCAATAAAGTGCATTGATAAACGCTTTGAAATGGCATTTCATCAACTGAAGAAACGAAGTAACTGCTAAGTAATTCTCTACTAATTATGGTCGTTTCTTGGGATTTAACATGAAAAATGGGGGCAAAACAAAGTCAACTTTGATCTTACCAAAGAGATGAATATACTCAAGAGAAAGACTAACAAGAACAGAGCAGTGCCATAGAGTCATGGAGGTCACGTACACATGTGAGCCCTGACCTCCGAGGAGCATTACTCCCGTTAAACCATGGTTAAACCATAGTGGTTAAACCCGGATAAATTCATGGTCGTGAGTAGAATATTAATTATTTACAGTCAATGAGTAAAACACAAGAGCCAATCACGATCATGCGTCCCTTTGACGTCATAACGACTGCACGCCACGTGCGTGCGCGAGCACGATGTCAGCACGCCACATGCACGCGCGGCTCTGGGGGCATAATGGAGGACAGCGTTGGTTCTGTAGTGACTGGAGCTTTGAGTACTGCAGCACACGGCGCACACATGTAGGGAACAGCCACAGCCTGTGCTCTTGCTCGTCAGCCCGTCACAGCAGTCTTCTCTGGGACACGGAGGAGCTTCCACTGCTGCACCTGCTCACAGACACAACTCCTGCAACTACAAAATGCCGAATATCAAAGTGTTCAGCGGGAGTTCTCATCTGGACCTGTCGCAGAAAATTGCTGATCGTTTAGGGTTGGAGCTGGCGAAAGTTGTTACAAAAAAATTCAGTAATCAGGAAACATGGTGAGTTATGGTTGTCACTCTCTGTCTTTGCGTATGCAAATGTGGTTAGCTTATGGTGAAGTTGTCCCGCTTTGACATTTCTTTTATTGTAATCTGTGTTTTATTGTTTACATGTTTCATGAAATTATCAGTTAGTCACCATCTAGCTAGCTAGCTAACGTTTTTGAGTAGTTTGTAGCTGCGACATTCAGGTCCCATCTTCTAAGGTGTTTGTTTTGTCACTTTCTCTGACAGCGTTGAAATTGGAGAAAGTGTCCGAGGAGAAGATGTTTATATTGTTCAAAGTGGCTGCGGGGAGATCAATGACAACCTTATGGAGCTCTTGATCATGATAAACGCCTGTAAAATCGCATCTGCTTCCCGTGTCACTGCTGTCATCCCCTGCTTCCCATACGCGAGACAGGACAAAAAGGACAAGGTGGGGGTGAGGAATATCTTGTCTAATTACTTCTGTCATCCCATTTTGCATCAGCATGATTTCAAGAAACTTTACTGATATATTCATCAAAGTAACTCACTGCATGATATTACATGCATGATTTGTATTTAATTAGAATAATGTTATTAAGAAAGCATTGCAGAGTAACAATCAAGTTTGGTGTGCTTGGAGCTGGATGCTATTGTTAACATTGAGACAAGGAATATGTATTGTCATTTAATTACTGCTTTTATTCTGAATTATTGTAATATTTAACACTGTCTTTCTCCTTTTAAGTTTGTGATATTTTTAGAAATGGGCCATGTACACTACCTTGTGACTGACCATATAATGTTCCTTTGCAGAGCCGGGCACCCATCTCAGCCAAACTGGTGGCCAATATGCTGTCCGTGTCAGGGGCCGACCACATAATTACTATGGATTTGCATGCCTCACAAATACAGGTAGATGAGTAGTTGGGGAATACCTATCACAACAAAACTATCTGTCTAAGGCTGAGTTTATACTGAGACACTGCGCAGACGTTTCCAGGCTATTAACAGAAACAACCAGGCTCCTATTGCTAATTTATCAGCGCACATACGAGGTTGAAAAACAATGTAGTTCTAACGCCCGGCCAGTAGTGAGCAGAGAAACTTTACAACACAACAGACAACCCCCAGCACCCCTCCCGGCAGTGTACTCACTTCCTCTAGAAGACGCGGAAGAACAGGGGAAGAACGCACCAACATCATTCTGCATTTTAACAGCAGCTGTGAAAATGAAAACTGAACCTAGAGCTTTGCGTGGTCTCGTTTGGACGCACAAAGGTGTAGAATTATCCTCTGTCCCGCGCTGGAAGCCCACGAAGCTAGTTAGTGTGCCGGCCGCCATTGTTGTTTACGTTTGTTCTCAGCTACTGCGCATGTCCAAATTTACGTACGGGGAGGAGCGGGAGGCGGGGGTCAGAGCAGAGGGGGATTTCACACCTTTTCCTTCTTGCGGGTGTGAAAGAGAGCCCCGCTGTGCAGCGTTTCTGAGCTGTCCCACTCTGCAGGCTGTATCTGAACACTTACGTTTTCACCCCCCTGGAACACTGTCTTCGTATGAACGGGGGGTAGCAACCGACATTCAACTATAGCGTTTTACTGCCACATTGTCTCCATGTAAACTCAGCCTTAGTGATATGTTGCGTAGTTCAAATGATTTGAAATCCCACAGCAGTATGGGGTTTCCCAGAAAAAATGCAATTATATTGTGGTGCTTTGTTTGTTATGAGCCTAAATACTTTTTAGCAAAAGATTGTTGTAATTCCCACCAAGCAGGAGCACACCAGACTCTCCCCATTTTCTCAAGCGAGTCCAGTCTTAACCTGGAGACCTGAGGTAATAGGTGGAGTCTGGTGTGTTCCTGGTTATTGTTTGACACCCATGATGACATAGGAATCGTAATCACAAAATTTGTATTTTTTATCACTATACTCCAGAACTCCCTTGAAAACGAGGTTCTTAATCTCAATGGGACTTTCCTGATTTAATAAACGTTAAATATATATGAAATCAAAAATCATAATTAAGTATTGTGCCAAAATTGTCCGTCCTAGTCTACATCTGTCACATACTGATGGTTTTATGTGGTGATGTTTATAAGTTCTGTTTTGTGTCCAGGGCTTCTTTGACATCCCGGTTGATAACTTGTACGCAGAACCAGCTGTGCTTAAGTGGATTCAGGAAAACATCCTTGAGTGGAAAAACTGCATTATAGTCTCACCTGATGCAGGGGGAGCAAAGAGGTATTACTCCAATCCTGTTATGTTTTTTACTAAACACTGTAATAGGGCTGGAAATCTCTGGGTCCTTCACAATACGATACCTGTCTCACTATACAATATTATCACAATATGGCTATGCTGAAATTATCAATATAATGCTTGTCTATTTTATGTTTTGTCATGATAAATCCAAAGCTTTATTCATTGTTTGTCTATATGGCTGTGTATGTGTGTTTAGAGTTTACATTATTGTAGTATATTGAACTAATAATTACCAATGAGTAGAGTTGTGCTTGGATTGTAGCAACTGGAGAAGAAAGCTTTAAATGTGACATTTACCCATGGGTTTTATCCTAATGGTAAAATACAGTTGCTAATACAAGCTAATAATTGATCGCGAGACAAAATATCATGATGTCGCAAGATTGATATTTTACACACCCCTATTGTGTAATTGGACTATGGTTCTGACTGAGATTTTGTTTTCAGAGTCACCTCCATTGCAGACAGGTTGAATGTGGACTTTGCACTCATTCACAAAGAAAGAAAAAAAGCAAATGAAGTTGACCGCATGGTGCTGGTTGGAGATGTGACCGGCAGAGTTGCAATTCTAGTTGATGACATGGCCGACACGTGTGGTACCATCTGTCACGCGGCTGATAAGTAAGTCCATTCCAACTCTGTACTCTGCTATTTTGAATTCTGATGCATCATTATTGAATATATATATAATATATATATATATATATATATAAATTTCAATATTCCCTCCGTAGACTCATTTCAGCTGGTGCAACAAAAGTATATGCCATCTTAACACATGGCATATTCTCCGGGCCAGCCATCACAAGAATAAACAACGCTTGCTTTGAAGCCGTGGTTGTCACCAACACCATTCCTCAAGAAGAGAAGATGAAACATTGTTCCAAAATACAGGTTATAAAAAACGTGGTTCATCGAGTTGAACTAAATCCATTTGTAAAATATGTAACTCTAGAGTATAATGAGTTTTTAACATTGGGCAATTAGGCGGCTGTGGTAATCAAAGATAAATGTTGTTATTACATTGTTTCCTTTAGGCGTCTTACAAGTGCATCATCCGAACCAGGTCTAAAACTGGTCTTTGTTGTCCAAAAAAATGGCAAACGAGAACTATTTTTAGTAGTACATTTAAATAAGGATGAACTTTTCATAAAGGTTGTACAGGTGAAAAGTCCATTTACTTCTATAGTTCGACTTACAATGTGAAACTAATATAAAACTTATGACACGTATTTCTTATAATGTTGATAATTGTATTATTTGTGTTTTTGCTAAAAAAAAAAAAACAACTACAAAAAAACAAATCAAGTGTAAGCCATAATCATCCAAATAATAACATGGTAATTATTGGTGGGGGAAATGTCAGATTCTTAGATTAATTGCGATTCGGCCGTGGAAGAATTGAGAAGAATTCACAAACTTTCTGCTTATTTAAATATGCCAAGTAAAGCAGAACTGAAATACAGTAAGCGTGGTCTTAGAAATAGGACTCAAGGGAACGGGCCGAGAGCGAGCATCCACAGAACACTGCTCCAGAAAAAAAAAAAAAACCACAACAAGCGTGGCTGAGCTAACCAACCAACGAGATCCGACCTGCTCCGATCGCCTTGTACGGCACACTTTTCATACACACGCTCTCTCTGTTTACTCCAAGGCGGGCTCCCGTGCCCACACACCAAAAACCAGCACACACGTTACCTACTTTGTCTTTTTGGAGTAAGACACATCTCTCACTTATACACATTGACTCCAATTGATTTCAAAGAACGCGATCCGTGCTCGAGCAGGTTGGCGCACAGTAGCCGAGGGTAACCAGGAAGAGACACAGAAACTTAACACAGACCTCGAGGTGGTTGCTGAAGTAGGCTCTTCTGACCGTGCCGTTAGGTTGTGCTTGTGACCGCAGCCTAGCAGCCAGAGAACAATTGAGGACGCTTTGGGTAACCTGCAACCCACATTACAAAAGACCAAGCAAATTACAAAAGGCATTGCAAAATTATCGTTTTGAGCCGTTGGTACTGAAGTAGTAGTTCATTTAAGCCTGAGAGCACTTTTGTATTATTTGTAACTAACATAGAAAACCCTAGTGTACAGTTCGAGGTGCTTTTTGCTGCCTAAAGTTCAAATCTTCATGTATTTCCATTCCAATGGATATTTTCCTTTTCCAAAAAGTGCATCAATGCCCCAAGATTCCCTAACTAATCTGGAGTCTTTATCATAGAATAGATAGATAGATAGATATATTGATCCCCGTAAGAGAAATTCAGGTGTCCTGTAGCAGCAAAAATAAAATTTCATCTATTCTGATCGCCACGGTGCCAGTAGCTTCCACCTTGAGATACCAAAATATGCAGAGTAAAAGTACTGCCTGTGCTTATGTCAGAATGATGAGTTACAACTTTAACTACTGTTGCTTCAAAGTGTCATGAAATCTCTAAATATACTTTTGAACGATATTCTAATTTTACTCAATATATTTCATATCGTCATTGTTTTGAATGAGATGAACTTACTCTGACTCATGTTTTATTCAATAGTAATAATAAACCCAACTTTATGGTCCCTGGGCAGTGTTGATTTCACATATTCCTATGATTGTATTATTATTTCATTCTTTGTTTTCTCTCCTCAGGTGATTGACATATCAATGATCCTCGCAGAAGCCATTCGTCGCACTCACAACGGAGAGTCTGTATCGTATTTGTTCAGCCATGTGCCCTTGTAACAAAGATGTTTACTTTCAGTGTGTAATGTGATGTCACACCAAAAATGAGCCCGAAACCCAGCACTGCTGTTTGCAAATATGCCCTAACTAACAACAATGTAAGTGTCTGTTACTAACCTCAGCCCTGTCCCTTCTGTAGCATCTGTGTGTTTAGGGCAGAGAAGCTATTTATTTCTAGAGATTTCATGAAAGAAGGTCAACATGCTGTGTCCAGGAACGCTGTTACCGGTCATTTGTTCTTTGCCATGAGAAATATAACTTAAATAATATGAATGTGAATATTTAAAGGGTTACAGTGCCACTGAATCCCCAGTGAGTGCCTCGTTGTCTGAATTTAGAATTTTCCATTTCCAGACAAACTTGTTGATACATCAAGGTTTTTCTCCAGCAGAACCAGAGGCTGGAGCTCCCTCTCAAACTAGTGATTTTATTTTGTCTTGTTTCAGCCTGAGTGGGGAAACTAATTGTGTGCATTTAAGTATATTTTTTCATTAAGTTAAACATTTGAGCACTGACCATAAATAAATTTAAATTTATGAAAACTAACGATGGTGGTGGTGTTGCTTGTGTTGACGATGTCCTCTGAGGCGACATACAGTTCATTAACAAATAAATCTCAAGTTATTTGAAGTACAGTATGACCCCAAGTTTCCAGATGTGGGGCAACTTTTTTGAGACCAGGCTATTGCCAAATCATATTTACTGGAGATTGTATTATGACTGTTCTCTAAAACATGTGCTGTAGGTGAGGGTTGGAGGAATCTGTGTTTGTGAGTGTGACTGAGACTATGGAGGAAATTAGTAATGTAGCTGTCCCATCCAAATAAACAATGTATCAGATGTGCAGAATAGTAGCAACACTTCTCACTTTGAGTGTGGGTGTGTCTGTATATAAATGTGGGACGTCAAATCAAACTCAAACATTTTGTGGCCTATACACTCACACACTAACACCAGGTCCATCCTGGGAAGGCTGGATTCTCAGGTAAGAAAAACATTTGGTCCAATACGCTGCTGTTTTCCTTTTTGTGATAATTGACAGTGTTTTTTCTTTTGACAATGATACACAAATGTAAACAATGATACCTTAAATAAAAACACCAAATAAACCTAAAAGCTGAGGCATTGTGTGATCATGACTAGAAATAGTTACAAATACAAAGTGACATATTATGTTATCAGAAATAACTAATACTGAAATGAAACAAACAAAATATATTTAAGTCAAATAATTGGAGTGCATTTTGTCTATTGTATTTTTAGATAGGCTATTATATCAAATAGCTGGTGCTATGAGACTTGGGTGGCATCTCTGACTGTCACCCCCCTGACCCAGAAATGGATTAAAGGGTAGAAAATGGATGGATGGATATTATATCAAATATTTTGTATAGATATTTTTATAACAGTATTTTTGATATTTAAAATATAAACTGAATATAATGCATTGGTTTTATATAACGCTTTTCAACACACTTCACATGTCATTATTCTTTCACTTCATACCCAGCGGTGATAAACTACTGTAGCCACAGCTGCCCTGGAGCATACTGACAGAAGAGAGGCACCTCACCTCGGAGCACCACCAACATTCACAGACAGACTATATATTGTTAGTCTTAAACTTTATTTTCGTGTACAGCTAAACAGGTTCAGGTTTGAGGTTCAGTATAATCTGATATTTCTCAAGTTAAAGAAATATTGTGATTTGTTAAATCTTGGGTCTAAATAGAGGTGGATGCGAGCCTTGTGCCTGACTGTATAATGGATGTGATGCTGGATAAAATAATAATAATAAATACAATCCATTGGAAACACGTTTCCTCTTCTGACCAATGTTCATTCTCTGGGGGCGGGACTAACGCACCGCCAGATTAGGCGCTCTCTGCTCATCCGGTTTTTTGCATTGTCTAAAAGCAATTTAGTAACGCTGTGTCCAGGACGTGCTCTGGATCAAACGGGATGGACACACGCGGAATATGCACGGCCTCGTGTGTTCTGTCGAGAGGCAAAGCAATGGCTGTGCTTCTATAAACCATCAAACATAGCGTCAATAATCCAGATTGATGGGACGCTTCCGGATACTACAATTGGACTAAATTGCTAATAGAGATGTAAGTTTTTTTTTTAGTTTTTTTTTTTTACATCCGCACATAGTCTATTTGAGCTGGCTGCATGTTTAAAATAGATTTTTGTATTCTTCTAGGTTTAAGAATGTTAAACAGGGTGTTATTCTGCCAACTCAAGGGCGTGTTACTGTCAACTCTGTGTCATTTCTGATTTACTTCTATTGCAGCTTCAAGATGTCTGCATCTCAGGGTCAATCACTAGATGTAAAGGCCCCCAAGGACCCAATGGTACGTTTCCAGAGCTACCTGCATGGGGGAACATCCAGCCTGTTGTCAGCACTCCCCACCCTCGTCGTGTTCCCTGTTTACAAGATTGTATTCCGTCAACAAATCCACAATACTCCAGTGCATCGAGCAGTTGGGCAGCTTTATAAAGAAGGTCTTCTGAAGCTGTACAGGGGTGTGGCGCCTCCATTAGTGATGCGAACTCTCAATGGCACCCTCCTCTTCGGGCTTCAGGACACTCTTCTTCACAGTCTTTCCTGGACGTCCTCTGCACACATCCCTGCCTCTGCTCTGCCGGCACTGGCTGGGCTCGGTGCTGGTGTTGTTGAAGCCCTGGTCTTCACTCCCTTTGAGCGTGTCCAGAATGTGTTACAGAACAGTCAGAATTATTCTCGTCTGCCCACGCTGAAGAGCATACTTGTCAGGTTGAAGTCTGAGAGGCAGGCATCAGGGTTCTACAGAGGCTTTGTGCCAATCACTGCTCGAAATGCTTTGGGGAGCGCTCTCTACTTTGGCCTCAAAGGACCTGTGTGTGCAGCTGTCTCTGGAGGAGGTTTGTCTCCACTTCTAGCTTCTTTTGTTTCAGGGACTCTAACATCCATGGCCATCAGTCTGAGCCTATATCCACTGTCTGTGCTGGTGGCCAACATGCAGGCTCAGGTGGGGAGGGACCTCAGGGGGGTCTGGGGTTGCTGGAAAGAGCTGATGGAGTCCAGACAGAGGAGCATAGTCCTGCTGTACCGAGGTGGTACTCTGGTGATCCTCCGGTCATGCATCACATGGGGCATCGCGACAGCTCTGTATGACAGACAGGAAAAACGATAAAGATGAGGAACCATTGCATGTGTGAATATAGTAAAAAATATATCCATTTGTCTCTACCTCAGTCATTATGAACAATGTCAGATCTGCTTGCACAAATTTCCTTTCACTTTGGATTTTTTAAAAACATTTCAAATGATCAATTAGGCAAGGAAGGTTATTTAGTTGGACACTCTTGAAAAAGAGATTATTAATCTCAATGATGTCCTCCTGGTTATCCATCCATTTTCTTCCCCTTAATACATTTCTGGGTCGGGGGGGTGGCCAGAGATGCTACCCAGTACATATAGCACCAGCCCCTCACTGATCCTCCTGCAGGTGGTGAGTCCACAGGAGGATGGCTGCCCACAGGAGCATAGCCTTGATCTTTCAGCGGGGGCTTCAGGCAAAGTAGGGTTAAGTGTTTTGCCCAAGGACACAACGACAGCAGTCATCAGTGGGAGTCGGTGGAAAGGGACTCATGGTGGGCTCGAACCCATGACCTTCGGGCTCAAAGGCCAATGCTCTACCAACTGAGCCACTGTCGCCCCCTCCTCCAGGTTAAATAAGGGTTAAATAAAATAAAAAAAATATTTGTATGCACTAGCATGTCACAGATGTACTTTGCAAGAGAGATGTGAGGCCATGGAGAGACTTGTACACAAGCAGAGCTACTTAAAAGTCTTACTTGAACCACAAATATGAAACCATACAATACTGTACCGTGTTTCCAGACCTGCCACTTGTCTTTTCCTGTTTTCCTGGGGTTTGTAACATGTGCCTTGAACTATTGTACAGAACTCTATAGTTGGGGAGAAAAATGGAAGTCAGTATTATGCTGTTGTTTCTTCTTCAATGTATCAGTAAATGATATAAAATAAAAACACATGCAATGATGCACAGTGTCCACTAGATGTCACTACCTGGCCTCGGTCTCCTTTTCATGTACAAGACTATCATTTGCACTGTTTGATTACAAAGGTACAAAGTAGAGTTTCAAAATACAAAAAGAAGTAGCGGCAGTGAGACAAACAGTTTTAACACTCGGTTCATCAAGAATTTTAGATTACATTCTTTAACTAAAAACCACAGTATTCTCAACCATGTGTATTCACTGTCATGTTCCGTCTGCATGACCTCCTGATTGTTGAATATAATCGGACTATTGAGCTGCATAAGTGCCACTTCAGCTAAATCAAGTGTACACCAAAAACCAACCAATTTCCAAGTGGATCCTTGATCCAGGGGACATTCCTTGTACCAGTGTTCATTATTGGTACTGACAGCAGCCCAATAACCATCAGACATTTATGACGTGGTCGAGTGGAGCATCATGATCTGGATTGCTTTTCCTTCAGGTTGTGCTTCAAAGGTCTTCAAACGGTAGCCATACTACAGGGGCCATTTGGGATTGAGCAACCAGTTGTATTTGACTTGCAAATTTCCAAATCTGGCCAATCTACAGAATAACAGCTCTTTTGCAAATATGTTTTTATTTTATTTTGGAGTGGAGATCCTCTAGCCTTTTTTATTTTAATCTTGTATCTTTTATTTTTCTTAAGTGATCCACTTGGTGTGGCTATCCATTACAGTACTTTTAAGTTTTAAACATGTTTACCTTGTACCGCTACATTTAATTTAAGGAGGGTTTAAAAAAAACAACGATGGTCTAAAAACAACTGATTTCAATTCAACAGTGATTATTATTATACTTTGGTCTCTTATCTATCATACCCATTCCTTCTTTTTACATTTAGAAACTGCTTTGAAAATCAATGTCTGTGGAAGTGGGTATATGTCGTCACCATATTATACTGCAGATAGACTCAGAGCCGGAGCCAGGTCTGGACTTGCAGCTCAGGGTGTGCTTCTGTATAAAAGCAGAGATCTGCACACACACACTGCACACGGACGCTCTGCTCTGACCAGCACACTTCTGCACACTGCAAATCACAGGTAACAACATCTCTACCTAATCTGTTCTCTCCTGACGGCCTCAGGTGCTCTCGCTCAGAATAAGGAGAGTGCATCGTCGTCGTGCATGCACCTTAAAAGTACATAGGAGGATTTTCCAAAATTTTAGGTAATAACCACCTTCTCCATTTTTTGAACAAAACTCTCTGGTCTTATTTGACGAGCACGTATCACCAGAATTGACAATTGTGAGGACCAATAGTCTTGATGATCCACCCGGAAGTAAAAAATCCTCCTATATACCTTTAAGAATTCAAAAGGCTGTGTCTTCTTTTTTGCAAAAACAGTGATTTCTGGGCAAAAAACCCGTCCTATACCTTTCAATTTAATACAGGGCCTAAAATAACCTTTGAATTTACATAATTTGTGATGTACGTATTTCACTAAAGATACTGTTAGGATTCACAAAGTTATAGTAATTGTTGCATAATCAGGGTCCATCCAGCGCTGGCACACAGTGGTTCTCTTTAGGTGTGGCCAGGTCTGTACAGACATGTGGAAACATGCATCACTAATCAAGAAAATACTTTTTGCCTCATGTTTGATTGCTGTAGAAACTCTTCAGGTATGGATAGCAACCCCGTAAATGCAGAGGTAGAATCCTTTAACAGGAGAAGTCTGCGGAAAACGAGCACAAGTGAGAAGATCGTTCTTCCAACTAAGGAGGGTGAGTGCTACACAACAGCACACTGAGGTCCGTGCAACACAACAGCACACTGAGGTCCGTCCGTGAAAAACAACAGCACACTGAGGTCTGTGAAACACAACAGCACACTGAGGTCCGTCCGTGAAAAACAACAGCACACTGAGGTCTGTGAAACACAACAGCACACTGAGGTCCGTCCGTGCTACACAACAGCACACTGAGGTCCGTCCGTGCTACACAACAGCACACTGAGGTCCGTCCGTGCAACACAACAGCACACTGAGGTCCGTCCGTGCTACACAACAGCACACTGAGGTCCGTCCGTGCAACACAACAGCACACTGAGGTCCGTCCGTGCAACACAACAGCACACTGAGGTCCGTGCAACACAACAGCACACTGAGGTCCGTCCGTGCTACACAACAGCACACTGAGGTCCGTGCTACACAACAGCACACACACCCAAACAGGTCCCTTTCTCTTCAGTGTCTTTGTTCAGAGACATCTCCACTCCCTCATTAAACATGGCCAGCACACACCATTGTTCTGTAAGTTCTGTAAGAAATCCCGGCATGAATAATTATACATTATATTTTTGCTTCATGACTTTATTCACAGGAGCTGAGAATAGCCTTAACTGTGATTTTGGTCTCTCTTGATAGTTTAGTTGCTATCAAATGTAACATCAATGTATTTCACATACGTCTGTGGTCCTTTTGAAATCACAATCAGAAAATACTGCTTCTTTGATGCTTTATTTATCTTTCCATATTGACATATTTTCATACATAGTTTAGGACTGTACTTCTGCAGAATGAGAACAATAATTACAAAATCTTGTTCATGTCATGCTCTAATATTGTTTTTCCTGTTTTTCTTGCCAGATATCGAACGGGAAAAGAAAGAGGAGAAGACAAAAAAATAACATGGCTCTTCTTCCCCACGGACAGATGTCTGTGCCGCCGAGCTCCCGCGGTTCTTTTTCTGCCGTCATCGCAGCAATTACACAACAATACAACATATGAATAAGGGCTATATTGGGCTATACTTAATATGCCACATTTTAGATCACAATTCAGTTAATCATGTAGAGACAATAGGGTGCATTTGATAGATGTTTATATATTAGTTTAATGCTGAGGGAAACATATTCATGGGAATAAAATGAAAGTCTGCTCAGAATCAAAATGTTTTTATTTATTTATTTGAGGAAAATGAAATCTCCAGTTTCTGAACACGATAATGTTATATATAAACAATGGCCTTCATGGTCCTTGAAAAGTAAATCTGCATCAAATATTTGATTTGAAAATATAACACCTGATAAACAGACTGCCTCATGCAATGAAGTGATTGACTTTGTATTATCAGTGACCAAATGGAAATATATTGCATCATAACGGTGGATGCAGGTGTGTCTACAGCCAATAATTATAGAGGCTGACATTGAAATTGAATATGTCAAAAATAAAACTTGTTTATCTTGTTTCTGTTGTTGACAAATTCTAAACCTAAATCCTAAACATAAGACTCACACTGAACACAGTAACCCACGTGATGTAAACCAAATAAAATGTATGATCGATTGGTTTCTTATTGGTATGATATATTTTGAAAACATACAACAAACAAAAACATGCAACCATTATAAGAATGACAATAACGCAGACTATTTACATACTTTTCATGATGACATGCAAAGACGTTTTGCAGAGCATTATTCATTATCTCAACACAAAGTAATGGCAAACTATTGCTGTAGCCACAGCTGCCCGGTGGCAGACAGACGGAAGTGAGGCAACCAGTCCGTGCCATTGGCACTCCACCATGCAAAGAGAACAACACTGAAAGGTGAAAATAAAAAGCAGAAGTATAACTCAGATAAAGAGGCAGGGGTAACTACAACATGTTGTAATGTTGTCAAACACTAATGGTTGGGGTAGTTTGAAGTTATAACTAGTCCGTACTAACCTTCTTATTAACGTAGTGTAGAACTGAGGCCCCGACTCCACCGGGCGCGTAAAACGGACGACGGATCCGTCCAAACATGTCCGTTTCATCTCCGTCTCCGTTATCTCCATGAGAGTGAATGGAAGTGGCTCCACTGCCTCCGCATGCGTCCGTCCAACGCACGTCGGACCTATTCCGTCAACGGAGGGTGCAAAAGACGTGGACGGACGAAATAGAAACAATCCTATTTGTTCCGTCCGTCGACGCGTGTCGGGTCCGTTTTCCATTGAAAATGCAATGGAATAATATATTTACAACATTGTTAAACATGTAGAGATATATGCTGTAGTCCTTGGTTATAAGTATTTGTTAATGACAATGATTATTAACAAACGTGTGTAATGTTTTTCATGTATTAATTTAAATAATTGTTTCCTGATCGTAAATCTACCATTTATTTTTCGCGTAATGTTAATCTTTACATAAACCTCGCTCTTCTGTCCCGTCTACCTCCGAGGCGCTCTCTCCTCACCGCCGCGCGCTCCCAGACAGACAGACAGACAGACAGACACGCACACACACACAGAGCTGCACTTATGAGAGACAGATCTCACAACACTGGATATGTTGGAGTTCTTTTCTCTCTCCCCTTTTTCCAATTGCTTTCAATAAGTTTTGCCTCATCCATCGCGACGTCCTCAATGCTTCAATATGCTGTGCTTTGCACTGATCATAGCCACAGCTCATTCTAATCACACACCGCTTCTTCTATTTAAAACTATAGCTCTGCCTGTTGCCTAAAGCCGCAGAGAGGCGAGTTGGCTCCGATAAAAGTGTATCATGCGCTAAATAAGTAGAAAACAAACGAAGAGGCTGGATCATAATAAACGCTGCAGTCACAGACCCAAACACACATGCACGCACACGCCTCCCACCACACACACACACACACACACACACACGGGCGCTCTCACGCACACGCTCACGCACACATGCACGCCGACAATACATAACTCCTCCATCAGCCAAACATTCATTCATTCACACAATGCCCAAACATGTCTCCTACAAAAATAAAGCAGGCTGATAAACGCACAGCCAGAGTTGCTGCTGCTGCAGCCGGTTTGACCACTGGTCCGTTTTACGGACGGCTGACGGACAGCAGCCAACGCGCGTCAACGGAGACGCGCCCGGTGGAGTCGGGGGGTCAGAGTGGAGTTCCAGGTGCTAGTTCTTTGTGCTTGCACGCAGCCTATCAAAATATACCTTGTTTTCTAGTAAAGGAGATGACGGAATGTTGTAGACTGATTATTTCACAAAATGTCACTTTTAGACTATTTCTGTTAGAACAATCAGATAGTTTTGTACAGAAATGTTGTGCTGCATTATATATTTGTTTATTCTGTAAATCACCCCTGGTGTCAAACATACGGAACGAAGTATTTCTGACGAAGCCATGATGCAGCCGCTGTCTACTGCGCTTATTTGCAATCCCACTCGTCTCCGCGAGAGGGCGCTGCACCACAGGAAGCGTGGGTGGAGGAGGAGCTACAGCCGCTGCAGGTTACTGTTTACTGGGCTAAACTAAAGTGACTACGAGCTAGTTAGCGGTGCTCTGCGGAGGATGCGATGCCAGCGAGCAGTCTGCCCCATAGCACCATGCACTGACCACAAACACACAGATAAACCCGCGGAGACAATCACCGGAGGCTGGAGGTGCTCATTCATGCAGCGGCGGCGGCGGTGGTGGCGGGCAGGACGCATCTACTGAGGGACGACTACCAACCACACGGCACTTCCACCGGTATCGTCTCTTTAGTTTGTTTTTTTAACAACAGGCAAAGCTAAAAATCAACATATACATAGGCGTTTAAGAAACTATTAGATGGATGCCACTCAAGAGAGGTGGCTATGTCTCCATCTCGAGGTCGGCGTTACGTCACGAATCATGTGACCTGCGTAGCAACCAACCGCCGCCATGTTTGAAGGGTAAAACAAACCGAAGGCGAATCCAAAAGGTATCTATTTACATATGTTTTGCCGTGGATTATGTCAGTTATGGATACTAACGGACAACTTTGAATTATTGATGAATGATATCTGTGTATGCGAATGTATGTTGGTGGTGTAAACATTCAGGGCTTGCTTAGCTGGAGGCAGGAATCTAAATTCCTATCTATTTCCATTGTAGCTGTTGTCATAGTAACAATAAAGAAATGTCTAACTGTTGTTGGAAATATCAGATAAACCTTATTTTATTAACGCAAATGTCATTCCTCTTGTTCTTGCACCTTAAGCCACAACAGGACCACCTTTTTCAGTTGTAGTTTTACACTTATAATCGCCAGTTTTAGTTTACATTCACTCCATACATGTGAGATTAAACACTCATGTAAAGCGCTTTGTGACTAGCTACATGTCTGTGAAAGGCACTATATGAATACAGATCTTCTTCTTCTATTGCAGCATGTCATATCAGTATATTGACAGTCTCCTAGCGCCTGCATTGACCAGGTACCACTAGCCTGGTTTTACCATACCCTCGTACTTGTTTCGTACAGAGGGTACATCCCGGGAAAAAAAGATTTGACCGGAGTTTACGGATGGCAAAGGCCAGGCTAAGGTACCACAGAAAGCTGTCGCTTGTAGGTTTACAATCTTGTCCCTATCGGCATCCAGCAGAGTCCTGGGAAAACAACCCAAAGGCATGGCCCAGGCTCGAGTATCCAGACATATACAATTACCTCATCAAGTCCCCTGGTATGAACACCATGTGTACATACCATGTGTCCTACACTTGTAGTAATATTTAAATACCCATCAAGCATCGATAACATTAACTATGTTATGACATTCAAAAGCATTCTGTTACAATGTGGCTGTAATGAGCTCAGTCTGTCAGTGGCACAGCTTGTACAGTGTAAGTGAGGGACACAGTTTTTTTCAGAAGCCAAAAAAGGCTAACTGCAGAAATTCCACTTATTCCCCACACAACTAGTGCATTTCATTGTTGCTTATCGGTGTAGAGCTGCCGACCATTATGCATAGCGATGTCATAACATAGCAACAGAAAACAGTGGCATGGCATTGGTATTATTTTGTTATTCTTTGATTTGCCCCTCAATGTGTCCATTCATTTGAGATTACATTTCTATTTAAATTTTAAAGTAAAATGGCATACCCTCTATTCACACTTTTTATGACCGGTTATTTTTTGCAATAACCAGTCATCAGATTACATTTTATTATATTATATATGTAGTGTCTAACGACAACAGCAAGACTTTAACATTTCTAATGAGAAATAGTTTATTAGACATTGTATAAGTAGAAATACTAAAAGACGTGAAGATTGACATGAAAACATTTGTATCATTTACTTGCAATTTGTCAGTGTTTTTGCTCTGGTCAATTGTCACTCTCCTAGATGTGATATGTTAATGTATAAAAATAAAATTATTTCCCTTTCTTCATTTTCTTTTGTTTCAGGTGTATTTAGTATTATGATGGTGGAGACCGAATCATTGCTGATTTTGTCAATGCCTAATTCCGTCTGCTGCAGGTCTTGCATTTCCATGCAGGGTGTTGACACTTCTTGTTGCAACTCTTCTGGGACACTTGTCTCCTCAAATTCCAGTTGCTTCTTCACCTTCCTTTCCTTTCGTGATACTAGAGTAGTGGATGGTGCTGAAAAAAATAGATAAAAGGTATATATTTTGCAAATGATCACAGAAATTTTAAGTCAATGGCCTCATATTTATAATAATAATAATAATGCATCAGTTTTATGTAGTGCTTTTCTGGACACTCAAAGACGCTTAACATTGCACTATTCATTCACTCCATACTTGGTGGTGGTAAGCAACTATTATAGCCACAGCTGCCCTGGGGTAGACTGACTGAAGCGAGGCGACCAGTCTGCGCCATCGGCCCCTCCGACCACCACCAACCACTCACTCACTCGGCTTCCTGGTGTTACTAAACGGCAGTATATTTAGTATTGAGTTGGATTGGGACGATAAGTCATAATAGTCGACTATGACTAGAAAGCAGCGACCAGTAGACTAGTTTTGTACTATAAATACCATCTTACCAAGAATTTCCAGGCTAGGCATTATGTACAAAAATCTGCATGACTAGTTACTTTGTAGATGCAATGACTTTTTCATACAGGAGGTAATTTTGTTTTCAAGGAAAATACATTTGTTAGCAAAATCTGTATTTTTACACAGATTACCATTTTTGTAGCAGTTAACCTCCCAAGTACTACTTTTTCAAATTGGTCATTAGAAATCAACATGTATTTTTTATTTATGTATTTCATATGGGGGACAACATTCTATTTCACAAGGTGCTTGTATCAATTGTTGTTCACAACCTCATTGCAATATGGAATCTTTTAATTCTTAACTGTGCATTGGAAATGCAGCTCATTATCTGCAGGTACGGTTTTACTGCAGTGTAAAATAAGAGCAATAAACACAATTTGCTACTATATATATGTCTGCATAAACAAAATCGACTGCAATTTGTTAGTTTTAAATTTCAAGTGTTGTGTCAAACAAATTCAGATAATTTTTGGTCATTGATCTAGGAGCAAACTAGATGCATGTTGATCACACTACAGTTTGATGGTTTTTTTTCTGTTAACGATAGGGTACTGTGGGTAGCAAACTTACCTTTTCTTTTCTGTGCTCTCTTGAAGCGATCAAGTGTGGTACTCTTAGTCAATTCCTTCAGCACTGCTTGCGGGAAAATGGACGGAGTGTAATCTGGGTATGCGGGGTTGTTGTTCTTCTTTCCTGTTCAAGGAGCAAAGTGACAAAATCTAAAGATTCCCACTGAGTAGCTCCAAGCCAGCTGGAGCCATTTCTCTCTCCTTTCTGGCTCAGTTGCCTCGCTAGGGATCATGTAAAAGGATAGGTCACTCCTTTTTACGCTGTTGTTGGTACAACCAACAATACAACAGTTTTTCGGCATGTTTTGTAACGCTCGTTTGTCTTTCGCTTCGTGTTGCTTAATGGCGGGCGCTGGTTTGTTTTACCCTTCGCCGCGTTGCTATGCGCGCGCAGTGCATTATGGGAGTCCAAGTTCCCGGATGTCCGACCTCGAGAATCCTTTGATGCGGGTTTTATTGTTTTATTGTATTTTGCTGCAAGAAGCAATATCTAACTCTTTTCATAAATAATAGTTTTCTGTTCCAACAGAAATAGTCGCGTGAAAGTAACATTTTGCGAACAAATCATACCACAGCATGATGTCTTCAGAATGTCAATGTTTTCTCCTCTTATTGGAAAACATTGGATGTCTGAGAAGATGTGAGTCACTATTGGACGCTTTGGGCTGAGAGCTTATTGCCTTAGCAAGAGTGGTCCTTGTAACTTTCCTGTCTGAAAAGTTGATCTATAGATGTGTCTAAAAACATGCATGTGAAATCGAGTGAAAGAGAACTCAGGAGTATGGTTTAATGGATATTATTTTGTGGTTTGCAAGTGAGGCACCCCAGCTATGTGTAAACAATAAGTTGAAAGAAACTACAGCAGTCAAATTGAAAGAACTACATACTGTAATAGTTACTCATCATGTACTTTGTTTTGTCCACGCGTTTGTCTTGCAGCAAAGAAGCATGGTGGTCCCAGGCAGTACCAACATCTCTCCCCAAGCCCACAACGGAAGTCTTCTGGAAGCTCCCACGTCCAGCTGCAAAGGGGCCGAAGTGGAGGGTCCAGACCTGGCAGGGGTGGAGCTGGAGGAGGTCCGAAAGCTGCAAGAACTGGTCCGCAGGTTGGAGGTCCAGAATGAGACTTTGCGTAATCGCGGCACCAAGCTGATGAGAGGTGCCAGCGACCACACAACGAGTCGAAACGTGGAGGAAGAACAAGACTTTGCTCCTTCACTTTGTCAGGACAACAGTGGCGAGGAGATGTCGCCTTTGCACGTGGCCAGCCAGATTGATGAAGAAGATGATGACGAGGAAGAGGACAGAGGGCCGTGTACTGGTTTTTTGACGTTTAGCTGCAGCAGTCGTGCCGGACCGGAGGAAGGCCTGACCCCAGATAGCCCCTCTCAGGACAGCTATGAGTCGGAAACACTGGCAGAGAGCGATTCTGGGTTGGACCAAACGGCGCTGGATGAAGTGGATGTCCTGGATTTGGAAGAAAAGTCTGCAGATGTAGAAGAGGCTGATAGTTGGTAGGTTTTATTACAGTGTCAGAATTATAGAAAATACATGCTGCAATACAGGCTTAATACATATTTGTGTTTTCAAGTACGTCATCTCTGAGTAACCTTTTTAGAGTCTAATGTGTTATATTTCCCCTACAGGGCTATGACTGGGAAGCGGTGATGTTTACTTTGTACTAAAATTACTGCCAGCTCTCACAGTAGTCCTATATTGGCTAATTTTACTTTCAAATACATTCAAATGGGTGAGTGGGTGAAGAGAGGGGAGTGACAGTACAAGGTTAAGTTTCAAACACCATGTGATATGCATGATTTATGGAGGTACATTTTGTGTGTGTTGTATTTGGCTTTGGGCTCTCACATGAGGAGAGAAGCAAACACGATCTGTCTTTTACCGGTTTATCAGGTTTAACTCTCGAGGTGTATTTAATTATTTAAAGCTGTTGAAATGTATCTGCACGCATTTTAACACATTGTCATTATTACAGAAGGCTAATTATGCAGCAGTATTTGAGCACAATAAAGAAACCATATTAGGCAGATTTAGTCTTTAGCCGGGCCATATGTGGTTTGCGTGGTTATCGTTGGCAAAACATCCAGTAATCCACAGTGGACCATAATCTGATCTGCTCAGCACTGGTTCCACTGCCACATGGACCAACCGCAGTTGTTGGGGATTGCACAGCATGTGATCTGGGGGCCCCCTCTGTGACTACTCAAATCCTTAAGCTAATGGCTGCTACATAATCGGAACTGGACTTTGACAAGTCTAGTCAAGTCATTAAACTACTCAAAGCTGCATATGGAATTGCTATTGGAGCTTAAAAAATAATGAAGAATTAAAAGGCAAGAATAAGAACAATCTAATGTGTGAGTGACATAGTTTCAGAACCTCCTGAATGAGGCTCTGGCTGCAGTTGTGACCTGAATATTACTGTGTGCATTGTTGTGCTGGTGGGAAATGACCCCTTTTGTGTTGGCCTAATGGAAATGTTGACGTACGAGTGTCTGCTTCAAGTCAAATGCTTTTTTGTGGTAAATGTATAACTCTATCCCATATTCTGCGTTTCCTTCCAGGTTGTACGTATCGCCCAAAAAGCAGGTCGCAGATGCTGGCCCTGGGTCTCCATTAAAGTGGTGTCGACAAGTCCTGGACCACCGCAGCCCAGAAACTGAAGTGGCATGTCAGACTCTAATCAACCGTTTGGATCAAAGTAAGATGCAATAAAAGCAACAAAAACATGAAAACTATTATTGATCTGTTAGTCAGTAATTCTGCATTTCCTAACTTTGGAGGAAGAACACTCTGTGTGTGTTTGTGTGTGCATGGTCATCATTCACTGGACATTAACAGACTACTTTTATAACACTGTTATAAAAGTAGTCTGTTAATGTCCATTATTATTTATCAGTTTGCACTGGCTTGTTCAAATTTGGAAATGAATAATCAATTGAGAGCGCTATTGTTTGGTTCAGTGTAACTATCAGCCTTTCTCCCATTTGTGTTCATCGTCCATAAATACCTGTATGCATCCAATGATGACAAAAATATACCAAGAAAAAAACATGTGTCAATGGTTGGAGCATTCTTTAAAATAAAAAATCTCCAGGGCTGATGACCTTGCACACATTCCTACTTCCTGATGTGTTTATGAGAACAGCAGAGACACAATGACGTTTTGGGGAAATACACAGGACTTGGTTTTATGTGATTAGGGCCATTGTCAGAAATAAGTTCATAGTGACTGATAACTCCATTAAGTTTTCTGTCAAAATCACATTAAAACACCTTTTCATTAAACCATGTTGTGTCCTGTTAAATGTTCTATCAGCTTTTTCATCTGCTATTGGTTAACTGTTACATTTCTATAATAGTTTTATGGTACAGGCCAAAAGTTTTGACACTCCGTCTCATTCAAAGAGTTTTTCATTTTCATGATTATGAAAATTGTAGATTCACACTGAAGGCATCAAAGCTATGAATTCAAAAAAAGTATGAAACAACTGAAAATATGTCTTATATTCTAGTTTCTTCAAAGTAGCACCTTTTGCTCTGATTACTGCTTCGTACACTCTTGGCATTCTCTTGATGAGCTTCAATTGACCTGAAATAGTCTTCCAACAGTCTTGAAGGAGTTCCAGAGATGCATAGCACTTGTGGGCTCTTTGGCCTTCACTCTGTGGTCCAGCTCGCCCCAAAACCATCTGGTTTGGGTTCAGGTCCAGTGACTGTGGAGGCCAGGTCATCTGGCCCAGCACCCATCACTCTTCTTCTTGGTCAAATAGCCCTTACACAGCCTGAGTGTGAATCTACAGTCAATAGTCATGAAAAGAAAGCAAACTCATTGAATGAGTGTGTCCAAACTTTTGGTCTGCACTGTGTGTGTGTATATATATATATATATATATATATATATGCTTGAAAAAATCTTGTGTAGGAGTTTGACTGCAGCAACAACAAAGCTGGATTCAGTCAGTTCATGAAGGTGAACTGACTGTGCTGGGTAGAATTACCTTCTCCCAGGTCAGATCTCCTCTGTAATGCAGCTACCTGCAAACAGTTTAACCCAAATCCTTACTATTAATAGGGCCAGTATTTCTTTTATTGACCATATTGGGGTAATTTCTTCATATTAAAATCACTTCCTGCTTTTCTGCAGCCACCCGTTGGAGAAGCATGTACAGCAGCCCTTCAGCAGAGACAGGCTCTGCTGGTTCAGGCCTGATCTCTCCGGGCTTCAACAAATCGACTAACAAATCCCTACTAACCAGTGGCAATTCAGGTAGGGCATGACATTAACACTGCTCTGCCTACCTTTTCATGAGTGAGACAAGCAAATGTAGGTCACTACATTTACATGCGTCAGTGAAGACTTATAATGCTTTTGAGAGTCTGTTTTTTTGCATGATTTGTTTTTTTGCTTGATTGATACTATAACACTCAGAAGTTTTAGGATAAACATTAAAAAAAATTATATATATATATATAAAACAATAATCAATAGGAAGAATGTATTTGCCTAATGTACATTACTTAATATAATGTACACATTTCTAATGAATGTAAATGTGTTAACAGGCACAAGCATGCACTCTGCCATGAGCTCTCAGTCCTCTATCGATAGTGAACTCAGCACATCAGACGACTCCATCTCCATGGGCTACAAGCTGCAAGACCTCACAGATGTACAAATCATGGCTCGGCTTCAGGAAGCGAGTGGGTATATTTAGACATTGTTATGTGACTTTTGAAACATTTATTCTAATTGATTTTCATTAAAAAATTATGCTTGTTGTTAGGTTTAAGGCAAGACTTTGCATCCAGCTCAGCCTCTGCTTCACGTCGCAGCTCAACAACATCTTTGCAGTCACTGCGCAGATGTGGAAACTACAGTGACCAGGAGTTTGATAGCTATAGTCTGGAAGATGAAGATGAATTTTGCTCTTTGCCGCTACGACATCGATTTACCCCTTCACCACTAAGTTCACCGCGGTGCCAGTCACCCTCTACTTCCAACCACAGCCAAGAATACAGCGGCCGTTTGGGAGCTCCACGTACAAGGGCTCCAAGGCGGTCTCTACAGGGCCCAAGTGCTGAACTCATCAAATTCGCCAAAAGTGAGGGTAAGTGAAAGACTCGGAAGACTCAGATAGTCAACCCCAATTACTGTTTTTCCCCAAGAACCTTTAAATATGTGTTGTGTAAATGTGGTTCCAGAAGAGTTGAGGCACAGCATGCCAAATCTGGCTCCTCGCACTAGCCTTCGTTCATTGGAGGCAGTTAGAAACAGCCGCAGTATGGAGGCTAACCTCCAGAGCTCTGGCAACCGCATGACCCACCTTTCCAATCCCCCTTCCACAGGTAACCCTCTCTTGTTACCCAGTGTGTGAAAGTCTGTGTGTTGTCATCCTATACCAATCCTATATTTATCCACTGCATTGTGCTGAATGAATAGTTACATTTTTGACACAAATAGTATTTTTTGTATTTGGTTAAATCCATGAGTGTTTTCTTTCCTTCGACAGGTATGACAAATGGTCGCATTCGCAACAATGGCCAGTCTCCTCTTTCACTACGGACCCCTGTCAAAGCTGTAGGTCCAGTGTCATCCAGAGGTTTACCTGTAATCCAAGGCCCACCTGCTGGAGGAGGGCGCAGATTGCAGTCTCCAAGCTCTGGAAATGGTGGTCCCCATGTTCCAGGAAGAAGCTCTTTTGGAACAGGCATAAGTCAAGGACAGTCAAGAAGTAAAATTTTACATACCCCAAGGAGGTATGAGTTTTTGGCAAGCCATATAAGCAATATGATTCAAATGTGCTTCTGGATAGTAATTTTTGTTTTGTTTCTGTATAAACAGGTCGATGGGTATAACAAAAATGTCTGATGAATCCTGGAAAGATGGCTGCTACTGATGATGAAGGATATTTATTCCTGGAGTCTTGAATGCCCTAGGAATTGTTATTGAAGATACTGCAGCCAATAATGCTGTAAACCTCTGGGTTCCTCATTTCAAACTGACAATGAATTTACGTGCTTTCCTTTGCATGAAACATTGTGAAGCCACTCCTAATAATCATGTAGCTGGATCACATTGTCACCAATCATTGGTAAACATGATGGGACCGTTGTTGACTTTTTGTCTAAGTCAACATGCTGAACTGTGAAGATTGTTTTGATGAAGACCATTTTAAAATTAATGTTATATTTGTGTGTGACTTCCTACTTAAAGGTGTTGGTCGTTGCATGCTCATGTTGCATTCCTTTCTCCTCATTCCACATGGCGTGTGTGCGTGTCTGTTAGGATTTGGATGCTTGTATATTCATTTAATGTGATTAATTTAAACCACACTGCCCTTACTTAATCTAACCTATGGGTTGTGCCAAGGTGCAGAAAAATGTTATATAAACACATTTTAAAAAGATACAATTTTACTATAATTGTGACATATTTGAAGGCTTCCATTTTAGGAAACTACAAAAAAATAAAGGCCCTTTGCCTTACACGTTCACCCTTCACTTGGTGCTTCTTGAAATCAGTGGCTGTTGCTAGGCTAATAAAGTTTATCCTGGAACAATTGTGTATTTATTGAATACATACAGTCGATTCAAAGGCAAACACTTCCGCTCTGTGCCCTGATATGGCAGTCTCACCGTAGACAATGCGCGTGCGTGTGACTGGAGTGAAATGGGCTACTCCCTCAGTGACAAAATGGCCTACAGGCCTTCTTAACAGACTTAGGGTTGTGTAGCAGCAAAACACACATTTTAAACGAAGAATTGTCTCCTTTGCATAACATTTCCCCAAACCATAGATGTGACACACTTTGAAGTAGTAAAATGGCTGATAAAACTGACTGTTTTCTTATGCATGACGCAAATGGAAAGGGATCAGCAGTAAACGAGGCCACGCACTGTCTCCCCCGCCCTCCCTCTCCTCGGGACGCACGCTGATTGGCCGAGGCCTAGCAAAGAGCGCCCGGGGATCCAAAACTGCAGGCCGCACTTAGCTTACCGTGAAAAATAAACCAAAACAAAAACAGACACATCCAAGAGGAAATAATAGCATCGTTAGAAACAGAAGACGACACAGCCAGGTAAAATATTTCAGATCTATCTGAAAAGCGTGTTGATTTAGACACAAGGGCCCAGTCGGCCGTAGAGGGCCGCTTTCAGCCTTGTGGAAAAACAACACGGTGGATAATGCGGCAGAGCAGCCCCAGCTAGCATAGCAAACTAGCTAGCTCAGTCGATCGCGGGTTTACTTTAGACATTTTCGACAATGTCCTATATGCATTATTTGAGCTCGTTTTAATAGTGTGTGATACTGTGTGGCAAAAGTAGGCCATTTAAAGCAACAATTATCAGGTTTTCGGGATATGCTTTAGCAATTCTGCTAAAACAAAATGGCGCCGAGGGACAGTTTTAGCATAATGCTAGTTAGCTTTTGTGGGTGGAGGGCGTTAGCCGCCCTTTGCATTGCATAATGTCTGCAGAACTTGATTTTAGACAAATCTCTGATCTTTGCATCAATCCAAACGACTAATATGAACATAGAAACGTGACGTGTCAGTTATTAAGTGTAATTTAAACCCAGCACTACCAATGCGGATGTTTACCCGTGCTGTATTACAAATTTACTATTGGGCGCCTTACTTATGCGCCTCTAGTACAACAATTTATCAAAACCAGACACTCTTCATCTCTGTAGCAACATGGGAGGGACCGCAGCTTTCTCTGCTCTAAACTCTTGTCATCAAGACCAACCACCTCCAGGTGCACGAGTATATGGAGCTTTCCCTGCAGTACTCTTACAGTGCAAGGGATGGAGCCAAATGTCAACAACCCGGATTTTTTCCTCAGCACCCACGAACATGATTAATTTGTATATATTTAACAATACTGCAATCTGTTTTCTATTTTAGAACTAACCTTAAGTGTTGAGTTACTTGATGGGGGTAAAAGGGAAGAAAATCTGCTTCTGAGGATCAGGTCAAATGTGAAGGTTTGTTTAATTAATACTGTGTTGGCGATAGTTCTTGTGCAATAGTCTTATTGTATTTTTAATTTAGGGTTTTGTTTGCAACATGGACCAAGGAGGAGGAGTGTTGGAGCTGCACACACAAGAGTTGAAGATGCCTCATACCATGATTATGCAAGACTTTGGTTAGTTAGTCACAATCTTTCTTCTGTATGATATAGCTGCCATAAGATAAACATATTTCGTTAGACTTGTGTCCTCAATATCACAACTTTCAGATTAAAAGATGATTTATAAGTTATTTTGACTCTTTTTTTTTTTTTTTCTGCTGCTCAATGATATTTCAGGCATTGACAAAGTGTTAATTAGCTGGTACTTAGCAGCATGAATCACTCACAGAACTGTCTCATCTGAGGCTAGAATTAGCAATTGTGCATTAGTCTATATTTTTGTCATTTTTTTCTCTGTGCTTCTCACAATATTATTTTGTAGAATATAAAGATTATGTTGTCATTTGGTCTTAAACACTAAGTCATCAATAACCTGTTTTTTTTTTGTGTGGGTTTTTTTCAGTTGCAGGAATGGGGGGTCTTGCCCACATCGATGGCGAGCACATAGTTGTGTCAGTGCCTGAGGGGATGCTTCTTTCTGATGTTATGACTGACGAAGGTATCCTCCTGGAGCACGGTCTGGAGGTGGAGGGCTTGGAGACACACGTGGTGGAAGGACTGGAGACTGAAGTGGTGGAGGGCTTACATGCAGATGTGGATCTGGAGGACGGGCTGCAGACTCATGTGGTGGAGCTGGAAGCTCAGGTGGTGGAGGGCTTGGAGGGAGAGGTGGAGGTTGAAGGGCTTGAAGCACATGTTGTGGAAGGGCTGGACGCTGACGTGGATGTGGACGAGCTGGAGGCTCATGTGGTGCAGGGGCTGGAGGAGGAGGTGGAGGTGGAGGGGCTGGAGGCAGAGGTGGTAGAGAGCCTGGAGGTGGATGTGGACGCCTTGCAGTCACAAGGTCATGACATGAGCAGTGAGGACATGGTGTCGTCAGAGCACAGTGTCATCATGCCCGACAATATTCTAGGAACAGAAGTGGCAATCGAAGAGGCTCTAGACCCTCATCACCACCATGTCTTGACATCGGACCTCATTCAGGACTCGGACCACCATGATGATATGCCAGACCAGGTCTTTGTGGCTGAGCTGCTATCAGAACATCAGGACAATACTTTAGACCACCAGCTGGTGTCGGAGGGTTTGATGGTGACAGAAGCCAATGCTGAAACCATTATCCACGAACGGTTACAAACTACAACTGTTCCTCTTCAGACGGATGAGGAGGATGACGCACAAAGTAGCTCTGAGGATTATCTAATGATTTCATGTATGTTTAATTGTTATGAATTTTACATATTAACATGTATGCAATGAAGTAATGTATTAAATAATTTCTTCAGTGGATGAGGTGGGAGAGAAGCTGGACATTGGCGACACACCTCTTGAAATCAGCACCGAGGTTTTGGAGGATAAAGAAATCAAAGACGAGGATGGGTCAGAGGTCATCAAAGTCTACATCTTTAAAGCTGAAGCTGATGATGATTTAGGTGAGTCGCTTGACTAATATTTCTTACTCAACACTGAAATAAAGTTGACGTTAAAACCATTTCTTAGGTGGAACAGAGGTGATAACAGAAGATGATTATCACAATGGGCACCCTGACTTGGAGGCCGCCTCTTCAGGTCGATTAGGAGTTGGCCGTGATAAGATGGTCTACATGGCTGTAAAGAATCCACCAAAAAAGGAAGAGGAAGAAGACGATGACAGTGACGACGACGATGATGATGATGAGATCAGTATGTGTCTCTTTTATGCCACATTTTATATAAACAGACTTGTAATAATGGTATGTTGTTATTTCTATAGATGATACTATTGATCAGGTCAAAAATGGCACGGTTACACCTTTTGTTCAAATCCGAGAGGCTCTTAATTCAAACCGAGCCCTTAAACCCAAACCTAAGAAAAAGAAGAAAGGGGACACGCGGCAGTGTCAGACAGGTGTGGACTATGCAACATTTTCCCACTATGGTTTGTCAAGTTTATTGTTAAAAAGTCATGATGCTTTACACTCTTGACCACTTGTGGTGACACGATGAAGCTGTTGTCAAAAGTGCTTTGTGCCATTTTCTTTACTCTCTTTTCCTTTTTGTATTCTTCTAGCCGTAATCATTGGACCAGATGGGATGCCTTTGACTGTTTATCCTTGTTACATTTGTGGGAAGAAGTTCCGCTCTCGAGGCTTCCTGAAATGTCATATGAAAAACCACCCTGACCATCTTTTGAAAAAGAAGTATCAGTGTACAGACTGTGATTTTACGACCAATAAGAAAATCAGTTTCCACAATCATCTGGAAAGTCACAAACTGCTAAGCCACAACAGCGAGCGTTCTCCAGAATACACTGAGTACACTCGGCGTTTCCACGAGTCCAGTCCGCTTGGATCAGATAAGCTAATTGTAAAAGATCGAGAGCCCAAACTACATCACTGCAAATACTGCGAGTATGAAACTGCTGAACAGGGCCTTCTTAACCGCCATCTGCTGGCAGTACACAGTAAAAACTTTGCACATGTCTGTGTGGAGTGTGCCAAAGGCTTCCGCCACCCATCAGAGTTGAAGAAACACATGCGGACGCATACAGGTGAGAAGCCATACCAGTGCCCACACTGCGAGTTCCGCTGTGCGGATCAGTCCAATCTTAAGACTCACATCAAGAGCAAACACGGAGCAGACATGCCGTTCAAGTGCAGCCACTGTCCACAGGCCTATGCTGACGCTCGAGAGCTGCAGCGCCACATAGAGATGGTGCAAGGCCACAAAACCCACCAGTGCCCACACTGTGAGCACAAAAGCACCAACTCTAGTGACCTGAAGCGACACATCATCTCTGTTCACACCAAGGACTTCCCCCATCAGTGCGACGTGTGTGAGAAAGGCTTTCACAGGCCCTCCGAGTTAAAGAAACACGCAGAGACACACAAAGGCAACAAGGTGCATCAGTGCCGCCATTGTAATTTTAATGCCCCCGACACTTTCACCCTTAGCCGCCATATCTTGTCCTTGCACACAAAGGACCTACCTTTTAAATGCAAGCGCTGCCGGCGAGGGTTCCGGCAGCCTGCCGAGCTGAAGAAGCACATGAAGACACACAGTGGTAGAAAGGTTTATCAGTGCCAGTATTGTGAATACAACAGTACGGACGCTTCAGGTTTCAAACGCCATGTTATCTCTATTCACACCAAGGACTACCCTCACCGCTGCGACTACTGCACCAAGGGTTTTCGACGGCCCTCGGAGAAGAGCCAGCACATAGCCAGACATCACAAAGAGATGTTAATGTAATATGTTTATTAACACTCCACCTGTGTCAACGGCACAGGTCATTTTAGCGTATTAACAGACTTGCATATATATTGAGGTTGTTGATGAAGGCAACAGCTGTAATTTCCGTTCTGTGTTTTACTGGGTATTCACCTGGTTCCCTTGGTAACAAGAATATTTTAGACTGGGACGGTGCTGTCTCGAAAGTACACTGGGTGGACAGGTGTAAGTTGTTTTGTTGCAGAAAATCACTTATGAACATATATTCAGGGTTTGAAATGTCTATATTTTTATACCCACTCAGCTGAAAGGCTGCAAGATGATGACTGTATCCTATGTCAGATAGCAGTGCTTTTTAATCATCTACAGGAAAGGAACCTCCATTGTACCAATTAGTATCTCTTTACTTTACTAACCAGCATTATATAACACTTAATGCCTTCAGACCCATCTCTTCATGTCAAACCTGCTGTTTTCAGTTATGTCAAAACAACACATCATTGAGGATGTGTGATTAATACTTGGCTTTTCTTCATAAAATATCAAATCATGTTTATTATAAAATGTATAATGACAAAATACCGAGATATAAATATAAACGTTATCGGCCTCTTCCCTCAGAAGCTGCAGCTGCTTCTTTTTCCCATACTGTCCATTCGGCTTAATATGAATTTGACCACTTGTGTAAAACTTGAACTGCCACTTTTAAGTACATGTATATGTTGGTAGTTGTTCAGAGGTGCTCTTTGTTTTCTTCCAAATTAAATCATGCCTTATGTCATTGAGAACATTGGTAATCAATCAGAAAACAATTTGATTTTAACTCTTAACATGCTGTATCCTGTATTTATGTTTTCAGTTAGAAAGCACTTTAAAAATGTTTCCCTGAATTTCATGGTGAGTGTTAAAAAAAAAAAACCTGGAAATGAGTTTTACAGTTTTGTGATTGGATGAAGGTTGCGTGTTACATTTAGTGGGCACATTCTTCTCTCCGATCACACTTGTTCTTAACTATTTGTAATTGGTGGTTTTGTTACATGGCTAAGTGATTGAGTTTGTGTTTTGTTTGTGCTGCTCACTAACATGTTTCCCACACCCTGATCCCATGTATCCCTGTTCCACATAAGGGAGAATTCCCTAAAAAGAAAGTTGTCACCATATTAACATTGTCTTTAAAGTATAATGCACATACAGTATACTGTCTCCATGACATCAATTGTGGTAAATGATATTAAAACCCCTTTTCATGTACCTAAGTCATTTTTCAGTCTGGTCGTGGATTACCTGCTGGTGGGGGAAACCAAAATAAACAATAATGATTTATTAAAATTATATGGTCCTAATTTTCTCTTCAAGTTTAACACAAGTTTCTGTGAGTGGTTAACGCTATCCTCCGTGTCATGTTTCCATGGGTTTTCTTTCCAGGACATGCCTCTTCACCTGTCTGCTGAGATGCATGACCCTCTCACGCGAACACAGTTTTGGAAGTGCAGCCTGTTCATTCATGAATCTCACTTCTGCTTCTGTCAGTGGAACTCTGAATGCACAGATCAAAACAGTACTCCCCCAGATATTTGAGGTTCAGGTCAGAATATTTTATAAAGCCATTTTATGCCACTCCACAATTAAAATCTAAGTCCGTTATGAATGTCCGCTGCATTTATTTGTTTTCAGTAAAACATTTGAAATAACTTTCAACTTCAGCCTCGCTTCCGTCTGCCCCAGGGCAACTGTGGCTACAGTTGTTGCGTACTACCGTGCATGGAGTTAAATAATAATGTTAAGCGCATTTAAATGTCCAAAATGCGTTGTATAATTAATCTACCTATGATTAAAGATTACAAAGTAGTCTACTGTTGGCTTCCTGAAGCGGACGCAAGATGTCACTGTTGGATTCTGGATTGACACTGGGATTGGATTGACTTGACTGACAAACAAACGGCTCACCTTTATGACTGCCACCGCAGACCCGTTTCAACCATAGACTGTATGTTTCAACACAACCAGCTCTTGGCGCATTCACGGAGCTTCATTAGGCCTATCGTTAAATGTGATATGTTTTGTAGACAAGTGCACAGAAACATCGATCGATTGATTGGTGTGCCTTTAAAAAAACATGAAGGATACGAAATTACGCTCTATTTAGTCCGACGTAGTAGAAAACAAGGTTGGATATATGATAATAAACCCGTGAACGAGCAGGCTCTGATAGAGCAGGGGGCGCGTCACTGTGGTGGGCGTGGTCCTCAGCTTGAATATCATTACTGTAGCCTCCACACATTGCAGCAGAGTTCCAGGCTGTCACCAGAGCGCACCTCACCCCGGTACAAGTCACATCTGAGGAGCGAGGGATGGCCACGCTGGAGAGGGTTCTATTCACGCTGCTGGTCTCGCATTATCTCTGGAAGATCGCCTTTGTCGCGTGGCTCTTCATCATAGGGACCCCGTCGGAACGCTCAAACTATGGATTGCATAATTGAAGTTGGGACCCCGAGCGCATTGAGAGCAGAGAAGAGCCGCTATGGACTGTGGTGCCCAAGGCGCGCATGCTGATGTGGAAAGAGTTACTTCCTCAGACTGCAAGAGTTTCCCCGTCAAAGACATGATGGTAGTTGGAGTCTGAGCAAATAACGCACAATGCTATAGTTCGTATGGGACAGACCTGTAGTTAGGTTAGTGCTTCTTTGCCTCATGGTTAGAAGGTAGAAGTTTGAAGAGCAATTTGATGTAGTGAGTAATATTGCGTCTGGTCGTTCCCACCGCTGCTGCAAGATTTAGGGTTTGCAAAAGCTACTTAAAGAAAGACGTTTTAAAGTTTGTGTTGATATACAGTGTGCACACCATGGCTTTACCAGATAGTGGGATATCTGCAGAGGAAGTACCCTTTCCTGACATTATAGAGCTCAATGTTGGTGGCCAAGTATACATAACCCGCTACTCTACCCTCACTAGTGTGCCAGACTCCCTGCTCGGGGAGATGTTCACTCAGAAGTCCTCCAAAGGTCTGGCCAGGGACACCAAGGGTCGTTTTTTTGTGGACAGAGATGGTTTTCTGTTTCGGTACATCCTGGACTACATGAGAGACAAGCAGCTGGTTCTACCTGATCACTTTCCTGAACGCGGGCGCCTGCAAAGAGAAGCAGAATACTTTAACCTCCCTGACTTAGTGAAGCTCTTGGCTCCTAAAATCAGTAAGCAGAACTCCCTGGGCGATGAAGGCTGTCAGAGCGACCCGGAGGATGCATCCCCAGGCATGGACACATCTCGCACCTTAAGCTCCATGGGTGCCGCTGCCGCCTGCTCCAGCCTTGTGCCCAGTACGATGGATGGCAAACGCTCAGGCTTCATCACCATTGGATACAGAGGCTCCTACACACTAGGACGGGACAGCCACACTGACGCTAAATTCCGCCGGGTGGCTCGCATCATGGTGTGTGGAAAGACCTCTCTGGCCAAAGAGGTTTTTGGAGATACCCTAAACGAGAGTCGAGACCCGGACCGCCCCCCTGAGCGCTACACATCTCGCTACTATCTGAAGTTCACCTTCCTGGAACAGGCCTTTGACAAGCTGGCCGACGCAGGCTTTCACATGGTGGCCTGTAACTCCACTGGGACCTGCGCCTTTGCCCACGAGCAGACCGACGACAAGATCTGGACCAGCTACACTGAATATGTGTTCTACCGTGAGTGAGACTTTGTGTACCCTGGCCCCCCCAAAACTAATCCTGTACATCTCCAAGTGCCCCTCTGCCTCCAGATGCCCTTCCCATACACTGACGGCTCCGCTCCAGTAGATGTGTACTGCAGCTCCCCGTGAACAGCACTCCTTGAAGCTCACTCTTTTTCCCCCTCTTTTCCCCAAATCTAACCTCGCCTCCTCAGGTCCAGCGTCTTGCCCCTGCTCCATCTAAGTAGCTCTAGTCCCCAGCCATATCCAGATCTAACCCAAAGACTGTTACGCCTCTATGTACGCTTCTGTTTTGCATTTCATCACCTCTGCCTGAAGCACAAAACAAAAATGAGTTAGAGAGAGCTCATTTTATTGAGAAAGTTCATAATATTGGCAAGACTATTTCAAGACTCATGAGTGGGGAATATGAAAGGGCTTCTAAGTGCAGCCCTCATCCTTGTGCTATTGTACGTGGCTTCTTTCTCGAGCGGACTCTCTTCATCCTTCTGCTCCTCTGAACTAAATTACCAAATAATTGGACATCTTATCTGCCTTTTTCATGAAGAGAAAGAAGTGTACTACAAAAATCTAACTTAGCTTTTTTAATTAAATGTGTTCATGTGGCTGTAGATGTGCCATAGTCTGTTCGGTCAGGCCTTTTAACTGGATAATGTTTTTCATGATGCAGCCACATAAAGAATACAGAAAAGTGCTTTGAAGTTTGACAAGCAGTGAGTGGGGATACCAAAAAAAAGAGGTTTGAGTGAAGATGTTCAAAGTAAATCTATTTAGTGTGGACATGAAAAGGCTGCGTGTGTGTGTATTGATTCTCTATATTTTAATTAGTATTCAGTTTTCTATGTGTCATCATACAAAACCATGGTGTAAAAAAAAATGTGTATGTTGTATCTACGAGTTGCTTTTACAAATCAATAGATTGCCAGTCATGTTTTTCCATCATACGTGCTGTCACCAAGGGCCAGTTTCAAACGCCTCAGGACTGGTCTGCAAATACCTCAGGCTATATTCAAAACATCTCAAAACAAGAGATGCTACAAATAATGCGATAGAAAAGCTGTGGTATAGTCCAGGGGTGGTGAACTCATTTTGGTTAGGGGCAGAATAAAAAAGAAAAGAGCTGAAAGAATTAAAGTGGTGTTCTTTTACTCATATTTTTATTATATATTATGAAGGTATTTGGACTTATTACTCTTTTGACATTTGTTGACATGATATTATATCCTGGAACAATATTAGTTTACTGCAAATACAATTTTGTCTGCCGTAAAACACAAGCAGAAAAAAAAGTCAGAGACATTTGGACAGTTAAAGTTTATTTGAACATGGCTTATATCTTTTTTTTTTTTTTTTTTACTTTAAAAGTCAGACTGCCTTGGAGTTTTGTGTCTGCTTGTTTTTGCAAAAAGGCAGACAGATTTGTATTTGCAATAAGGAATTCACCCACAATCTCCACAGAGCACCTGGCTGGCTTCAGTCTCAGTGCTCCCTACACTTTAAAAAAATGAAGAATTAGATTTCATTGATAAACTTTAATTAACAAAAAGCAACTTATAGCACATTTTTAATAAACGCCACTGAGTTTGTATTTCATTGACTTCCTCCATTAAATCCAACATCACAGAGTTATATAAAAAGAACATTACTTAACTACTTACTTAGTTATCATTAAAATTAAATCCAACACTTTACTTGCAGTATGAGTTCATCAGAATACTCAAAATAATTGTGTTGCCTTTAAGTAACAGGAAGTAACAAAGTCATAAAGCTATGGTTTACAGAGCAAACAAGTTATAACAATGTAAAAAAAAAAAGATATAAAGACAGAATCTTGATAAAATTCTAACATATCAATCCACGCAATGGGAATTTAACAATGCAGATTATCAATAACCACAGGTACTACTACTGTCGACAGGTATGAGATTAAAATGTGGCAGAGTTTGAACTGAGACTTTATAATACGTCAAAAATGTGGTTGAAAAAGTGCTTTAAATTGAGGTGTAACATGCCATAGTCGCTCATTACCATCAATGCAGCACATTAATAATAATAAAAATGGAAAATCATTTCAGGGGCTGTTTAAAAGTGGATTTTCAGTAGTTTAGGAAAGTTCATCTTGTCTCCTTCGTAGCTCAAGTTCTTTGGTTTTTCTAGACCAGACACACTCAGTAGTGTTAAGACACTTCTGAGGAAGACTGAATTTTGCCAATAAAAGAAGTCAAGGTAATAACATCTCTTTGTTATATTCGTCTGGTAAAGAAGAACCAAATAACTTAGTGGACGTTCAGTTTCTCTTATCAAGACAGACCATAATAAGTGTATTCTGAGTTGTCTTGAACCCGCAGTGTTGTGTTTTGGTGTGCTGAAGTGCTGTGGACTCACTATTTGCAGGATTAGACACTCAAATCCAAGTGTTGGACAAAATATTACGTGCGTTGTCAAATAAAATCTCTTTTCTTTCTATTTGTTTTGCCTCGTGTATAAAAGAGCTGACGCCGCAAAAACAACGTGTGACAAATGTTTGATGACAGAGCTATACAAGAGCGTACATCTGTCAGCGAGACGGATCCATCAGAGGGAGAGTCCGTGGGCATAAACAGATAGTCCAGAGCTTTTTCCATCTGTGTTTTTAGTTATCGAACAGAAAAATCACAGCAACGCAGCAGTTCAATCATGGATCAGTCTTTCATTTTGGTCACTGTAGCGGATTTGTATAAAAAATAAAAATAAAACAGTAATAATAATCATATGTTAAGACCATCTAGGCAGATTCAGAAATTGTTTTTGTTAATTAGCGCTGTTAATTTTATCCATTAAAAAAATGCACGTTTTACATTTCACACAAGATAAATAAGGCTGAAATACTGTAACAATATTTTTTTTAATAGTTTGTAATTGATAAAAGAGTTCTTGAACCACACCTGAACCAAAACATGCTAAGAAGAAGTTGTTTGACTCTGGCAGAGTTATTATTATAGTGAATTCCGGACTATAAGCTGCAGCTTTTTTCCCGCACTTTGAACACTGCAGGTTATACTGAGCTGCGGCTAAATTTTTATTTTATTTATTTCTGTGGCGCCAAGTAACAGTCGAGAGAAGAAGAGTTGCTTCTTACGTCTTTGCTTTCTCTGGAAGATAAGGGACTGCCGGTGACTCATTTCTTACAGTGATAAGAAGAAAGTTATGAGTTACATTTTTCAATATTACAACATTGGAACATAGTGGTTTATAATCAGTCCGGATAACACGGCACTTCAGAAAGACATTGAGTAGTATTTCTAATCAAACAGCCAATTATGAGACCGCTTTATGCAGATGTGTGATTTAATCAAATACTAATTTACTACCAATTTTTAAACATTATGTGAAACTGTTGCACATCAGCTCATTCCAGCAACAGTTTCGTTCTCACGTGTTTCTGACGATGCCAACACTGCTCTGATTCAAAAATGAAGGAGTAATATTTCAGGAATGCTTGCTTAAAATATGAATAAGGATTAAGACCGAGATCTCCTGTTTTAGTCCAACAGTGGGGAAATGTCAGTGTTGCGTCACAAGTTACAGAACAGTAGGAAAGAGGAGCACGCAACACAATATTAGTGAATATTATGAACAGCTCAAAACTATACTCAAAAATAGAATCTCTGATTAATTATGTTTTGAATTATGAATTATACCATAAGTGTGTCATAGAGTTGATAGATTACTCTTTCATTCTAAGCTAATGATCAATAGAATATTTGATTACTCTAATAATAAATAGCTGCAGCTCTAGCATTAACACAACCTCGTACACACACAAACACACACACATATACAGTATAAGACACTCTGACGTCTTACTGTAGATTAAATATGTTCTTCTGACAATTCTTCATCTTATCACACACTGTTATTGTGTCATTTCTTCAGTCTGCGCGTCCCTCTCCCGCCGCCCCACAGCAGAACACCACATCCCTGCAGCCAATGAGCTTCAGATGAGGAGACGAGCTGTTGAAATATTGATCCTTCCTCTAAAAGTCCTGACTGGTGTTTGGATGAGGAACACATGACACATCCCAAAGGAGCAGAGATTTAGGTCCTTTGTAATATGCTGAGGCGTGAGGAAACCCCTTTGCTGGTGCACACTATCACAATATAAGAGAAATGTAGAGATGCTGAAATTGTTGAACAAAGAGCTCCAAAATGAGAAAAAACACTTGTATTTCTTTTCTATTGATGATCAGCAGTAACTGTAAATACACCAGATTGTAGCTCATTTCCATCTGTAGGTGTTTTTAGTGGTAGGAGTCACCGGAGTAACTGGAGGAAACATACGCAGACACAGGGAGAACATACAAACTCTTCACAGAAAGACCTTGAGGTGGAGTCAAACCAAGGCTCTTCTTGATGTGACGCACAAGTGCTATCCACTGCGCCACCGTGCCGCCAGACTTACAATGTGAAAACAAATACATCGCATAACACGCACAGTGAGAGACCAAGGTTTTATTTGATGACAATATTGATAATTGGTGCAGTTTGTAAAAAGCCTTCAGACAATAAGAACATGTTGAAAATTGACTAAGAGCCATAAACCTTGTAATGAGGCCATTTATTGTTTCTTAAAGTTAGTAGTTTTGCACAAATGCATGAAATTGATGTTCAGTTCCACCTGTGTGTGCAATTATTTCATGCATTCAATCCACTTAAAGGTGCAGTAATCGATGTTGTTAGCTTAGCCGTAGCACCAACTCGAAACCACTCCCCCCTCCCCTCGCCTCTCCACCAAACCAAACACCCAGCATTTTCTTTTCTTTGTCACAACAGAGTGGGTGGCAAACGTGAAATTGGCATTTTCTGTTCAGCCCTTTTAGGTTTTAGAAAATCCGATAACTCAGGTGGAAACAGGAAGAGGGTGAAGGGGACTAAACGGATCCCATTGTTTCGTTGGGAATGAACAAATCCCATTGGTTTATTTTTATCGGTCCGCTACAAAATATTTTGTATTAA